TCCATAAAGGGATCCATTTCCTCCGTGCAAACCACAATAGAAGCCACGGTCAACAGAGTGAATGAAATGGAAGGTAGAGTGTCAGATACAGAAGACAGAATACACCAACTGGACCAAAAAGTGACAGATATGGAAAAATCACTCAAATTAAACCAAAGAGAAATTCAAGAGCAAGCAGATAATGCCAAGAAATTTAACCTTCATATAATTGGAGTGGACGAAGGTGAGGAATTCCAGAGCAAGGGAATGCAACACCTATTTAACAAGATAATCAATGAAAATTTTCCCCACCTCAAAAACGACCATCTTAACTACATCACAAAAGCTTATCGAACACCCAACAAGCAAGATCCCAGGAGAAACACTTCTAGACACATTATAGTAAAAATGATGGATCTGAATAATAAGGAAACAATCCTGCATGCAGCAAAAATGAAGAAGGAGCTATACTACAATGGGAAAAAAATTAGAATCACTGCAGATCTCTCCACACAAACAATGAATGCAAGAAAAGCCTGGGAAAGCACCATACGAGCCCTGAGAGCCAATAACTGCCAACCCAGACTGATATACCCGGCAAAGCTAGCATTCACATTCGATGGAGAACTAAAAACTTTTAATAGCAAAGAAAAACTAAATGAATACATAAACATTAAGCCAGCATTACAAAGAATTCTAAGAGGGGGGACACAACCTGAAGAAAGCAACCAGGAACTGGGACCTGCCCCAAACAGGCATTACTCAAAGTCTAACTGAGCAAGCACAGGAGGAAAGGAAAAAAGAAAAACTTAGGAAAACGGAATGGCAGGGACAACAATGCATCTCTCTATACTTTCTCTTAATATAAATGGGCTGAATTCGCCAATTAAAAGAAAACGAACTGAGGACTGGATCAGAAAACAAGACCCATCCATCTGTTGCCTTCAGGAGACCCACCTCTCAGCCAAACATACAAACAAACTCAGAGTGAAGGGGTAGAAAAGGATCTACCAATCAAATGCCCCCAGTAAGAAAGCTGGAGTAGCTATCCTGATATCTGACAAAATAAACTTTTCATTAAAATCAGTACAGAAAGACAAGGATGGACACTACATATTAATAAAGGGAACAATCCAAGAGGAGGATATAACCATCATCAACTTATATGCCCCAAATATTGGTACACCCAGATATGTCAAACAAATGCTCTCAAACTTACAGAATAAAATAGATCCCAATACGATAATACTAGGAGACTTTAACACGCCACTCTCACCAAAGGACAGGTCTACCAACCAGAGGATTGGCAAAGAAGCTACCGAATTAAGTGAGGCCATACTTCAAGCGGAATTAACTGACATCTACCGAGTATTTCACCCTAAAACAACACAGTACACATTCTTCTCAGCAGCTCATGGAACTTTCTCCAAAATAGACCACATCATAGTTCATGCAATGAACTTAAGCAAATACAAAGGGATCGACATAATCCCCGGTATCCTATCTGACCACAGTGGAATCAAGCTAGCTCTCAATAACAAAGCATACCGCAGAAATTTCTCTAATACATGGAAATTGAACAGCACACTCCTTAACAAGGCCTGGGTAACAGAAGAGATCAGAGAAGAAATAAAGCATTTCCTACAACTCAATGAAAATGAAAACACCTCACAAAGAAACTTGTGGGACACAGCAAAAGCAGTCCTGAGGGGCAAATTTATTGCCCTCAGTGCCCACATCAAGAGAATGGAGACAGACCAAGTAAATAATCTCATGTTGCAACTAAAACAGCTAGAAAAACAAGAAAAAATGGGACCTAAAGCTACTAGACGAAGCCAGATAACCAAATTAAGAGCAGAGATTAACCAATTAGAAAATCAGAAAACCATAACCAAAATAACCAAACAAAAAGCTGGTTCTTTGAAAAAATAAACAAAATTGATGGCCCGTTGGCAAGATTAATTAAAACAAGAAGAGAGGAAACCCATATTAATAGGATTAGGGATGCCACCGGAAACATCACAACACGTACCCAAGATTTCCAAACAATTCTAACAGACTACTTTCAAAAGCTATACTCTCCAAAGGAAGAAAATCTGGCAGAAATGGATGCATTTTTAGAGAAATACAAGTTACCCAAACTGAGCAAAGAAGAAGTTAACCAATTAAATAAGCCAATATCCTATAATGAGATACAGGAAGCTATCAAAAGTCTTCCAACAAAAAAAAGCCCAGGACCAGATGGATTCACAGCAGAATTCTATAAGACCTTTAAAGAAGAACTAATCCCATACTCCTCAAGCTCTTCAGAGAAACAGAGAAGGAGGGAGCTATCCCAAACTCATTCTACGAAGCCAATATCACACTCATCCCCAAACCAGGCAAAGACCCAACCAAAAAGGAGAATTACAGGCCAATTTCCTTGATGAACACAGATGCAAAGATCCTTAACAAGATTCTAGCTAACAGAATCCAGAAACACATAAAAAAAATAATACACTATGATCAGGTAGGCTTCATCCCAGAGACACAGGGATGGTTTAACATACGTAAGTCAATAAATGTAATCCAGCATATCAACAGAGCCAAGGTCAAGAATTACATGATTATCGCCACAGATGCAGAAAAGGCCTTTGATAAAATTCAACATTCATTCATGCTAAAAGCTCTGGAGAAAATAGGAATAGAAGGAACATTTCTAAAAACAATAAAAGCCATTTATGACAGACCAATAGCCAATATTATACTTAATGGGGAAAAGCTACAACCAATCGTCCTAAAATCAGGAACAAGGCAAGGATGCCCACTGTCTCCACTCCTCTTCAACATAGTCCTAGAACCCTTAGCCAGGGCAATAAGGCAAGAAAAAGACATTAAAGGGATCCGCATAGGGAAAGAAGAAGTTAAACTATCCCTTTTTGCAGACGACATGATACTATACCTCCACGATCCCAAAAACTCCATCCCCAAACTTTTAGAAATCATAAGTCACTTCGGCAAAATAGCAGGATACAAAATAAACCCACAAAAATCAGTTGCCTTCCTATACACTGATAACGTACAGGACGAGAGGGAAATAAAGGGAGCAACCCCATTCACAATAACCTCCCAAAAAATAAAATATTTAGGAATTAACCTAACCAAAGATGTAAAAAAACTATTTAATGAGAACTATAAAAAGTTAAAGAAAGAAATTGCAGAAGACACTAGGAAATGGAAAGACCTCCCATGCTCCTGGATAGGCCTACTTAATATAGTAAAGATGGTAATACTTCCAAAACTAATATACAAATTCAATGCAATTCCTATTAAAATCCCAATGACATACATCACTGAAATACAGAAAACAGTCCAAAAATTCATATGGAACAACAAAAGACCTAGAATAGCCAAAACAATTCTAGGGGATAAAGACAATATGGGAGGGCTATCCATGCCGAACTTCAAACTCTACTACAGAGCTATAATAACAAAGACAGCATGGTACTGGCACAAAAACAGACCCGAAGACCAATGGAACAGAATAGAAGATCCAGAAATAAATCCACAGGCCTACAGCCAGCTGATACTCGACAAAGGAGCCAAAGACATACAATGGAAGAAACACAGCCTCTTCAACCGCTGGTGCTGGGAAAACTGGGCAGCCACATGCAGAAAACTAAAAGTGGACCCCAGCCTATCACCATGCACCAACATCAACTCAAAATGGATTAAAGACCTTAACATTAAACCTGAATCTCTGAAACTACTGCAGGACAGAGTAGGAGAGACACTTGAACTAATAGGCACAGGAAGGAACTTCCTGAACAAAGTCCCAGGGTCACAACAAGTTGGAGAGAGACTCGACAAATGGGACTACCTTAAAATAAAAAGCTTCTGCACAGCTAAATCTATCGCAACTAAGCTAGAAAGACAACCAACTAATTGGGAAAAAATATTTACCAGCAATATATCAGACAAGGGGTTAACATCCTGTATATACAGGGAACTCAAGAAACTAATCCCTCCCAAACCTAACAAACCAATTACTAAATGGGCAAGGGAACTAAAGAGGGACTTCTCAAATGAAGAAATAAAAATGGCAAAGAAACACATGAGGAAATGTTCATCATCCCTGGTGGTGAAGGAAATGCAAATAAAGACAACCCTGAGATACCACCTTACCCCAGTCAGAATGTCCCACATCCACAAATCAGCCAACGACAAATGCTGGAGGGGATGTGGAGAAAGAGGAACCCTATTACACTGCTGGTGGGAATGTACACTTATACAACCACTTTGGAAAGCAGTCTGGAGGGTCCTTAGAAAGCTAAAGATTGACCTCCCTTACAACCCAGTCATACCACTTCTAGGCATCTACCCAGAACAACAGGAACCAATATACAAGGACACGTGCACCTCCATGTTTATTGCAGCACTGTTCGCAATAGCTAGGATATGGAAACAACCTAGATGCCCCACCACAGATGAATGGATCCAAAAATTGTGGTATTTATACACAATGGAATATTATGCAGCCATTAGAAATGACAAAATAATGGCATTTGCAGGGAAATGGATGGAACTAGAAGGAATCATGTTGAGCGAGGTAAGCCAAGAAGGAAGAGACAAACGGTACATGGTCTCCCTGATAAGTGGATGCTAAATCCAAAATGTTAGGTGATACGACAAAACTAACAGGACTTAAGAAACAAAGAACTCCCGCTCATCTGGTTGAACCACTACTAAATATCCCCATGCTGCTGATCACAAATATGGTATATAACATGTGAACACTGTCATATATTACAGACTGTGATAGACAGTTTGCTCCAGGAAAGTTAGAATGAACTTGTGACTTTGAAATTATGTAATCACTTAATCACAATCAAAAAAAAAAAAAAGAACCTCGGGGAAGCGAGGGAGGGAGGGGATGGTAGGGGGAAAACAATGGAGGGGGCAACAATGTTCAAGAGGAAGTGTACTCATTACCTCACTCATGTAACTGTAACCCTCTGTATAGTATCTTTACAATAATTAAAAAAAAAATTAGAACAAGGCCTTCATTTCCAATTGAAAACATGTATTTCATCTTATAGAACCCTGTGAAGCCACTGAATCCATTTCCAGTGGTTATTTCACTTTGGTTTTTAGTGTTTACATTCATCTGTTTTCATCAAATAAGGAGACTATGGGAAATGTCATAAAGATAATCTGACATTAGCACTGAAGAATGCAGGTCATTAGGGGCTGAAGCTGATCCTCCTTAGCTGGCCCTGCCCAGAGCTGTGAGGTGAGTTATGGCCCACTCTCGTCTTCTGCTGTAGGCTCTATACTGGACCCAGATGCCACACTCCTGTGTCCCAACCTAAAGAGACACCCTACCAGGGAACAAACCTACCAACAAAACCAAAGGGTACAAAACCTACAAAGGGCACTGATCCTGGGGAACACATTTGTCTCTGGATAGAGAAATGGCTGGGAAAAAGAACATACCAAAGTATAGTAAAAACTGAGGCAACATAAGGCAACAACCCGTGATTTATAGATAATTACTAAAAATAAAAAAAAAAGTAAAATAAAGACTTGGAACCATACCTTTAAGGTCTTATAAAAAGATTTAAAATTTCATTTTATGTGTATTTCCTGTCTGAAAACAAGCCATGACCTTTTAAAATTTGATTTTTGGTTCTCTCATGTAGTTTAAAGCAACACAAATAATTCCTTAATTATCCTAGTATGCAAGAGTATATTCAGAATGGACCAACTTTATTTTTTTTTAGATTTTTAACAACTTTTTACTGAAGATTTTGATGAGCAGCTATGGAATGACAGCTTGTTGAGAACTTTTTCATGTACAAATCATTATCCCTTCTAGGTCCGTGTCACCATATTGGTAGAAATCCCCTACTGTATCTGCCTTGGCCTGTCTGGGCCTGCTGCCACACAATGCAATGATTCCTACTCCTAAAACACATGATCCCTATGCAATTATGGGAGATTATTACAATTATCCGGAAGTTGATGTCAAACACAATGACTATGTTAAACCACCTGCCTGGTTCTCTCATGAGCAGGTTATACCTCATGTTCTTCTATGGCCCTGTGGCCACAATAACCCATTCTTGTCCTCCTCAGTTGTTCCCATTGAATCCACTGCAGTGTAGAGACCGTGGGCCTGTCTGGGTGGGATGGAATGTGGGATGGTGAGTAGAAAGTGAGCTAGGAAGTGAATTCAGGAAATTAGGAATGACTAATTATAGTCAGAAGGTATTGGGTAGGGAGCAAAAGGATACACAAGAAAGTCAGTGCCTTAAGAAATCTATCTATGGAAGTGCAGATGGGCGTAAACGTTCCTCACCTCTTCACTCTGTACCTAGTCCTCAGGACGCAGAGGTGCCACCACTACCCTATGACTTCAAAGTTGCTTTTGTCAAATGTCTAATAGCTCTGATTTCACATAATCATTTGATTAAAATGAATATATTATTCTAGATTAATTTTCTTCATTCAAATGTTTATATCCCATCTACCCCAAACAATTAATTGAGAAAAACCAGGCACCTCCCAAGCCTTCCCAAGAACAATGACTTTCTAAAATGATATTATACAAATAGAGTGAGGGAGACAAATGGCTGTGGCAGGCAGTGGTGGGGCTTCATGGGGCTGCTTTCTTCAAGTCGCGAATCTGTTTAATCAAGTAGTTCTTCTCGTCTGTGAACTGCTCATCGTCTGTCCTTTCTTTTTGGAAGCTGCTTAGAAACTCAATTAGTTTGGGTTGATTTTTCAGCAGAATCTCCACAATTGGCTGTGTTTTGTGAGGACTGGCCACAAACACCTGCAACAAGAGGAAAAAAACTCCTAGCATAGGCCCCCACACAGGGACCACTCACGTTCCATGCATACACAGGTTACACATGCACAGAAGAGAGTCTACCACCTCACCTACACACCTCCTTGATAGTGCGCCAGGAGCATAGCAGAGTCATCTGTGAACCTATTTACCTTTTACTTTGTTTTCATGTTAAATAATTGTTTTTAACTATAAAATCTTTTACACAGAAAATAACAGATACCAATATACTCACCACAGAAACTGGGAACAGATTTTGCTGTCTGCCTCTCTTCTTAATGAAATAAAGCATCATAAATGAAATGAAACTTTTGCTTTCTACCTTTCTTGCCCTCCCCTCCTCCCCCCTCTCCCCCGTTGCCAGCTATCATCTGGCAGTTTTGACCCATTTCCTCCCACTACATATGCATATAAACATGAACAGCATATAGCATTATTGCCTATCTTTCCATAATTTATTGTTTTGAATGGGTGATATTCTCAAGTGAATGGTCTCCCTCTTACCTTCCCTCTCTCCACAAATGGTTCTATTTTCTGTTTTCTTAGATTTATGGACTATAATAATGACAACTAGTCAGCTCACCCAAGCCCTACTCAGTAATAATGTGTCATAAAGATTGTATGTTTACTTGTGGTTGAAACCACAATCTTAAGACTAATAAGCTAAGGTCCAGGGATGTAGGGTCAGCAGCAGAGTACTTGACTAACATGTGTGAGGTGCTGGGTTCAATTTCCAACACTGCAAACAAAATAACCTTGCTACACTATAAAAGACAGAACTATAATAGGACATAAGAACTCAAACTGTAGGATAGATTGATGCACTAGTTTGTGATGGACACGTTCCCTAGTTACCATTACCAATGTAAACATCAAAGGTACCTTGGCTCCTAGTGCCCTAGCTCCTCTTCCAGACAGCAATTCACAGCTCTATGGAGAACCCATTGTGATGGGGATGGTCTATGGGGTGGTAGGGCCTGTGAGGTTGAGTCCTCAGGGTTCTTCCATCCCAGTATGTGTGAAGAATACTCCATAAGGATAAAGTATCAATGAGGGAGGTGTAAGGCTCCCAGGTGCTGGCCAGGGTATAAGCTTGCAGGTTTGGAAAAGGAGGGCTCATAAGGTAGGTGGTGTGCAAGAGAGAGTCTATGAATTATGGAGAGCCTTTTGTTGTTGTCTTGAACTAACTCGGGGCCTGGGTGCTGTCCCTGAACTTTTTTTGCTCAAGGCTAGCACTACCACTTTGAGCCACAGCGCTGCTTCTGGTTTTCTGGTGGTTAATTGGAGACTAGAGACTTTTTAAGAGACTTTCCTCCCCTGCCTGGCTTTGAACAATGATACTCAGATCTCAGCCTCCTGAGTAGCTAGGATTACAGGCATGAGCCACTAGATGCCCAGCCATGGAGAACATTTTTACATGTGACAAAATAGAAAGTATTCCAGGACCATGAAATTGCACCAATGGAAGTCCCAAGATGAGCATAGACAGGGACCTTGGGAACACAGCTGCAGGGAGTGTGGGTGCTTAGAAACTGTAGCGTAAGTTCTCAAGCTCTAGTTTAAAACACATAGGGCTTACCTGCTTCTGGACTGCACCTCTCCAGCTTATTAGTGGTAAATCCTTTCAACTTCTGAGCTCAAGTTTCACTATTCAGAAACAAGAGGACCTCTATCTCACTGGCTGAGGATGTGCTGGAGGATACAATGTCTCAGCATCACATCCCACAGTCTCCTAAGGCCTGTTGTCACTGATGTATGCAGATGTGTGGCACTGAGGTGAAGCAACTGATCTTGATCTAGTCACAACTCCACCACATAGTCCTCATCAACTGTGTACATGGCCTTGTGCTGCCTATTCATAGGTTTCACTCACTGATCTTAGGAAATCACTTTCATCAGCCCTGAGGTATAGTAACAATTGCCCTTGTAAATAAATAGGGAAATTGCCAGGCACAGAGGTTTATGCCTGTAATCGTACCTACTCAGTAAGCTTAGATCTGAGGATCAAGATCTGAAGCGAGCCCAGGTAGGAAAGTCTGAGATTCCTGCCCATCAGAAAGCCAGAAGTGGAGCTGTGGCTCAAGTGGTAGAGCACTAGCCTTGAGCAAAAAAAGCTAAGGGTTCTGAGTTCAAGCCCTAGTACTGTGTGTGTGTGTGTGTGTGTGTGTGTGTGTGTGTGTGTGTGTGTGTGCATGTATGTGCACACACAGAGGAAACCATAGCATAATGAAGTCAAGAGACTTGACTGAATGGCATTATGGTTGAAGTATGGAATCTGGGGCATACTTCATGGGTCCAAAGCCTGGCACGATTGCTTATTAGCTGTATAACCCTATAAAACCTCTTCTCTCTGTACCACAGTTTCTTCATCTGGAAAATAGGTTAGATGCAACCAGCTAGGAGGCTGGGAATATAGCATTCATGAAGGCCTGGGTTTGATTCCTCAGAACCACATAAACAGAAAAAAAGCTGGAAGTGCTCTGTGGCTCATGTGGTAGAGTGCTAGCCTTGAGCAAAAGAAGCTCAGGGATAGCGCCCAGGCCCTGAGTTCAAGCCAATAGTTCAAGGCAAAAAACAAACAAAAAACCTACCAGCTAACTATGAGGAGGCTTCATGAGAACACTACATGCATACTCATATGTGTATTGTTGTTGTGCCAGACACAGGGCTTGTGAGTAGGAGTTGGGTGACCTAGCTTGGCTCCCAGAGCTAATGAGGCCTGAAAATGGGACCACCCCCAGGATGCTTGTTTGCATTTATGCACTCTGAGAAACCATGTCATTTGCTGGGCACAGGCTCTGTAACTCACACCTCTCATCCTAGCTACCCAGGAGGCTGAGATCTGAGGATCGCTTGCTAGGGCATAAAAATCTCTGAGAGTCCTATCTCCAAGTAATCAGCAAAAAGCCTAAAATGGAGGTATGGCTCAAGTGGTAGAGTACCAGTCTTGAGCACAAATACCAAGCAAGAGCTTGAGACTCGGAGTCCATGCCCCAGGATGACACACAAAAACCATGGCATCTGCCAAATGAGCTAGTGAATTGGGAATAAACCCCTCCAAATCTCTCATGCTCAATTTGTTTAATTAATGTACTTCTAGCCAGTTTCTTTCTGATATGAATACTGTCTATTAATTCGTGTTGTTTCTGTTTTTCTCCTCAAAGCCTTGGGGCTTTCACTCAGTAAATGCTGAGGAGTACTGAGTACTCCCTAGGAAGGCTGTATGTCTCTGTGGTTTTTAATGACTCACAATGGAATAATCTCAGGCAGTCCTTGCTGCTTACTTAGGCTAAACCCAACCTGAAGCCAGGCCAAGTCCAGCAGGTAAAGAAAGGAATCTCAAAGATTTCTGACTAGCAGGTCTAGAACTATGAAAGGACAAAAAGGAACTGACTTCTCATCTTTTGAACTATAAAGCATCTAAACAGCCTGAGTCCTCTTAAACAACCTTTGGGACAAATGAGTCACAAGGGAAATTAGAAAGTACTTGGAGACAGATGAAAATAAAAATATAACATAGAACTGAAGAGATGTACAAAGACAGGAGGGAAAGCTTAAAGCTGTAAATGCACAGATCTGAAAGTTAGCTTTACAATTCAATGGAATGGGGAAAAAAAGAAAGGAAAATGAAATAAAAACACAGAGAGAGAAGGGAACAGAAAGATTAGAGCAGAGATAAACAAATTAGAGGAGATAAAAACTATGGAATGAGTGAAATGAAACCAAGAGTTGATCTTTTAAAAAAAATATTAACAAATTGACAAATCTTTTTTTCTTTTACTTTTTTAGAGTACTGAGGCTTGAACTCAGGCCTTAGCTTTCTAAGCTGGGTGCTTTACCCTTTGAGCCACATCATCAGTTCAACAAGCCTCTAGCTAGATTGATTTAGAAAAAAATGAAAGAAGATTCCTATTACTAAAAGCAGAACTGAAGAATCTCACAGAAACAAAAAAGGCTTATGAGAGAACACAATGAACAACTGTAAGCCATCATATTAGATAACCTGTTGGAATGGCCAAACTTTTCAAGAAGAAACAGAAAATCTGAATAGACCTATGAGAAGTGATCAAATTGGTAATCAAAAACTCCTAACTGAGAAAACCCAGGACCAAAATGACTTTCATCAGTAAATTTCTCTTGAACACTTAAAGAAACATTAACACTAATGTTCTCGAATTCATCCTCAAAGAAGGAACATTGCCTAGCTTATTCTCTGGGAGGCAAGCTGTACCCTGATAGTGAAGTTCGACAAGAGAAAACTACAGTGTGCTACAGTGTGATATTCTTTTTGAGTAAAAATGCAAAACCCAGCATCTATTTACTCCCACTTCCTGAATGGGAAGCAGGAAATGTTTCTCTTTTCTCTTTCATTTCTATTTTAATCCTGCCATACTAAAATCCTCAGCAAAATTCTCAGTAAAATACTAGTAAACTAAGCCAGTTGCATGTTAGATTATATACCATGACCAGGTGGGGTTTACTTCAGAAATATAAAAGTGGCTACATAAGAAAATCAGTGTAACCCCACAAGTACTGGTGTCATATTCCTCACAATATATGTTTAAATCCTAACCTTTTCAGTACCTCCTATGCAAATAGTAGCTTTGTAGATGTAGTCAAGCTGAGGTCATACTGACTTAGGGAGCCCCAATCCAACCACTGGTACACCCACATGATCGAAAACTTTGTGCATAGGGACGTATAGGGCTGTAAAGAGGAGAAAAATCACATGAAGATGGAGGTGGAGAACTGAGTGATTTATCCACAAGCCAAGGAATGTCAAAGATTGTTGTCAACCTTCAGAAGCTAAGAAAGAGCAAAGAAAGATTCTTCCTCAGCCTCCTAAATAAACCAACCCTGCTAACAGCCTTGGTCTTCTGGCCTCTGAACTGTGAGAGAATAAATTTCTGAGTTAAGCCATTGAGTCTGTGGTACTCTGTTATGGCCACCCAGGAAACTAATATAGTCTATTAAGTGAATAAAAACTACACTTTCATCTCAATTCAGAGTTTACTTGGCAAAATTCAACATCCTTTTATGATAAAAGCATAAACACTGGACACTTGGAAATCTACATGCAAAAAAAAAAAGTTGGGGGAAGGGAGTTTGAGGGAGAATGATAAAGGGGGTGAGTCTGATCAAGGTATACTATATATAAGGACATGTCAAAATGAACCCCCCTTGCATAACTAGTTGATGCTAATAAAAAAAAGTGGGAGGGTTGGAATGTAGCTCAGTGGCAAAGTGCTTGCCTAGAAAGTGCAACATCCTGGGTTTGGTCCACAGTACCAAAAAAGAAAACACAAAAACAAAAGAAAACAAAATAACCAAACAATAACACAAAAGAACCAGTTTAAAAAAAGTGGGAAAGAGGGGGAAAAAAATGAAGCTGGGACTTTACCTCATATTTATGCCTCATAAGCATAATATAGTCCAGACTATATTATTATGCCTCAAAGGCATAAATATAACAGCTAATAAACTTTTAGATAAAAATATTACTATTCATAAACTTGGACTTTGTAATGACTCCTTAGATAAAACATCAAAAGCACAAGCATAATAAATCAACTTCACTATTTAAAACTTTCGTGTATCAAAGGATCCTAGAATAGTAAGAAAAATCCAGAGAATGAGAGAAAATATTTGCCAATTACACATGTGATCAGTGTCTTTTATCTATAACTCTGACAACTCAACAACAGAAAGACCAATCACCTATCCAAGGGGCAGAGGACTTGGATAAAAATTCTCCAAAGAAGATACACAAATAGCCAATGAGCATGGACTAATGCTCCAGATCATTAGTCATAAGGGAAATGTAAATGAAAACTACACTGAAGGGGTGAGAATGTGGCTTAGTGGTAGAGTGCTTGCCTAGCATGCATGAAGCCCTGGGTTCAATTCCTCAGTACCAGAATTGGTGGTGTGGCTCAAGTGGTAGAGTGCTAGCCTTGAGCAAAAGAAGCTCAGGGACAGTGCCCAGGCCCTGAGTTCAAGGACTGAAAAAACAAAAAACAAACAAGAAAGAACTACACTCGGATTGTTACACTTTTAAAAAAACAACCTGAGAACAACAAGTGTGAGGATGAGAAAAAATTTGAATCTCTACTTTGATGGTGTGAGTGTACAATAGTGTACCTCCTGGTAAAAAGGTCTAGCATTTCCTTAGAAGTTAAACATTGGATTGTAATACATTTGAACAATTCTCTTTCTAAAAAAATGAAACTATTTGTTCTAATAAAAACTCTGTACTCTAATTATTCTATATCCTAAATATTCATCAAGTGATGATTAGATTTCTATTAGAGAATATTATATAGCCATTAAAAGGGATGATATACTGATTATGGTGGAGTTGGTTGTGTTATACAAAGTTATCCTAAACAGGTAAATCCATCGACACAGGAAGCAGATTGTGGCTGCCAGGGGCTGGTAGAGCTAAGGGAAAATGGAGAGGGATTGCCTAATGAGTACAGAATTTCCTTTTGGGGTGATAAATATTCTGGCACTACATAGTAGAGATGGTTACATGCTATTCTAAGTATACTAAATGTTACTGAATTGTGCAATTCAAGATGTGCAATTAATAATATAGTGAATTTTCTTATATAACTTTTATTGCAATAAACTAAAATTATTACTAAGAAAAGAGTATTCAGGCTTGTTTATACTGCTATCCCAAATGCCTGGTATTTACATAATACCTATTAGTATGTTAGGAAATCATACACAGGGCCAAGCAGCCTCTTCTGGTTAGCATTTGTTTACAAGGGAGTTGCCGTGAAGTTCTGTCTAAAAATTGCCTGGCATTTTGTGGTAACTACATAAATAACTCACAACAATACTTCTAAAAAAGAAAAAAAGGAGCTATATTGGACAAACTAGGCCTGCCTGTTTCCTAGTGGAAACAGGCCTCTGTGGAGTTTTAGACTAGCCTCATTAGATTAACTCTACTTAAGCCTATACCCTGGAGTAGCCACATCAGACAATGCTGTTTGTTCTCAAGTTCTGAAATATTCTATTCTTCTGAACTCTTGAACTCTGAAGGTAAAGACAGCTGCTCACTAAAGCCAGCTGTGCCCAGGTGCAGAGTGCTTGCCTGTGAGTAGTGGGCTGCTGGAAATCAGCCAAAGCTTTTGCTATGGACCATGGGATACACTTCCACTCAGCTGTGGGAACTAGATTTCTGGACTATTAGATCCAGAACAGTTTCTTGGTGCTGTGCTGTCTTCAGTTACTCAGAAAAGTCTTTGCAAAGCCCCAAACAAGATTAACTCTTAGAACTGCTTGTGAGTCCTTTCTAAATTGCCTGCATCCCTAAGTTTATATAACATGCTTCAGAAATGTGATTTAGGGAGTCCTCAAGCATGATGAAGAAAGGCCCCAACTCATTCCCCAACACTGGCAACTATTAATCTATTTTCTACCCCCAGAATTTTGCCTAGGCTAGAAATTTCATGCTGATGAAATCCTATGTGTGACAGTCTTTGGCCTCACAGCATGTCTTCAAAGCTCAACCATGCTGCAACATGTACTAGTATTTCATCTTCTTCATTGCCAAAGCTTCACTTAGTTTTGAGAGGATTAAAAAACATAATGCTTGCAAGTAGCTGGGATTATACGCACAAACCACTGCAGTGGTTTAGGACTGATCCTGCACCACATATTTTTTTAGCTGAATTTTTAGGCTGGCTTTCATATTTCAAAGAAACTGGACAGGGATTCTTGCTTCCATGCTAAAGGCTTTTGTGGCAATGGCTGAGATCTGAGAAAATGGAGCTGTATACTCAGGACCATTCTTGGCATTGGCTATGCCTGAGGTCTAGTAGCTCTGAGTGTGAGCCTCATTCCACTGGCTACCCCCTACAGGGCTTGATGGAAAAAGACACATGATCCTTGGCTACTTACAGAGGGTATTAGGGCAAAGAATGGGGGAACATCAGCTGGTCTAAGACATCTCTGGGCAATCCAGATGACAGTGACACAGGTCTCATCACCAGTATTTAAAACTAGACTTTAGATTTTACTGCTGTTTCTACAAGTGAGGAAATAGCTCTAGACAGATACTCTCTGAGCAACTGAGGCAAGACAATATAGGTCTCCTGATTTCTATGGAGGCCTTTCGCATCATACCCTACCCTGCTGGTGGTGCTACAGAGCACATGACATGGCATCTTACTGGAATTCCTCACCTTAATGGCAAGCTAATGAAAACGAGCTACTAATAACACAGCAAACACAGTACTGTCTTTGTACTATGTACCACATTTTCAGCACCTTTATAGGAGGTACTTTGGGAGAAAAACTATTAATAAAGAACTGTGAAAAATTCTAGGGCTCAGCTGTTACTTTTTTAAAATTGCAAAATATTATTTTTGGAATGTAGACAACTGAGTTGTCATGCTTCAGTGGAAGGAACACTGTTAGGGTACAGGGTAGGACCAATTTACACACACATTCAAAGAAACAAGTGATCCACTATTTTTAAATGTTCCTGTGCTGTCCAGTGACTAGGGGATCCGAATTCTGATCTGAATATGGAAGCAGGTTATTTCTATCTTAACCACCCACTGAATCCTTCTATAACACTGTAGTTTTGCACAGTATTATATGAAGCTTGCTCTTATCTCAAATGACAGGGATCACTTCTGTGGAGATTAAATGACATGGCCCACAGCCTTCCTTCTACAGCCCCTTCATTAGAAAGATGTTGAGGTTGGGCACTGGTGGCTCTGAAATCCTATCTACTGGTGGGCACTGTAATCCTAGCTACTCAGGAGGCTGAGACCTGAGGATTATGGTTCAAAGCAAGCCCAAGCAAGAAAGTCTGTGAGACTCTCTATCTCCAGTTAACTACTAGAAAACCAGAAGTGGTGCCATGGCTCAAAGTGGCAGAGTGCTAGCCTTAAGCAAAAGAGCTCAGAGACAGCATCCAGGCTCTGTGTTCAAGCCCTACTTACAAAAAAAAAAAAAAGTGTTGAGGGGTAGGTGCTGATGGCTCATACCTGTAGTCTTAGCTACTCAGGAGGCTGGATTCTGAGGAAGGCATTTCAAAGCCAGCCTGAGCAGAAGTGTGTGAGACTAATTTCCAATTAACCAGCAAAAAGGCTAGAAATGAAGGTGTGGCTCAAGTGGTTGAATACCAGTCTTAAGCAGAGTTCCAAGCCTGCACTCAGGACCTAGACTCTACCTTAATCTCTGGTTGTTTCAGCAACTTTGGGAAGATGGTGACTTATTTCTCTCAGAGGGAAATGCTGAAGTTTTTTTCTTAGAAGCAAAAGAAGCCCTGAGCTCAGTATAAGACACAAAGGTCAGCTTTACTGGTGTTTCCATCTAGCTGGTGTGGTGAGTACTGGAGACCTTCAACAGCAGACACAGCCTCATTTCTTTCAGTGATTTTCAATTTGAAAGCCATCACTTAATTTTCGTAGGCTCCTTGAGATCAGGTCACTGCATAGGAAATTTCTCTGAATTTATAATACATATGTAATGGTAAGAGGCAAATTAACCTAATGGCAGCACTTAAGTAGTGAATTTATGCAATTAAACCAGTGCAAGATAACAATCAGTAAATAAATATTTAAAAGAAAAATTTTTTGGAGATGTGAAATAGTTCTAGAATTTCATCCAAGTCATCCATATCACAAAGATCACCTATTTATTCTCCACTCATGCCTAAAGGAATGTACAAAGTAGGGAAAGCTTATCATTTGAAATTGGGGGAAGAAAATGCCTTATACTTTACCTTAAAGACGTGAAAAGCTTCAAACTGGATGTTGGGGCTTTTGTCACGAAGGAGATTCATCATGAGTTTCAGGTTCTCTGGCTTGCTGATGTATTTGGTCATAATGGTAAAGTTGTGACGATCTAGGATCAGTTCACCTAGCAGCTACAAGAAAACTCAAGGTCAGAGCCATTATCTTATAATCACTTTTATTACTCAATATACCTCACTCTTTTCTTACTCAACCATAACAAAGAAATGTAACAATGGTATCATGAAGAAAAAAAAGCTTAGGGAGAGTCCTCAAGTATCTATTTAAAGAACAGGTATAAGCCAGGGTAGAGAATATAACTATGGCCCTAGCTATTTGACAGATTGAGGCGAGAGGATCACAAGAGCCCAAGAGCCCAGACCAGTCTGGGCAGTACAGTGAAACACCTAATTTCAATGAAAAAAAAGCCAAATGCCAGAAACAAAAAGAACAGGTATAAAAACTATAGTTCTTATTAGTTTAAGCTTTAAGCTTAATGCAGGTGTTTAGCGGGTCATTGCTGCTGAAGAGATAACTAGAAATAAACTTTTTTATCTCTTATTTGAATTATCTTGCTTCACAACAATATGTTACTCCATAGGCATTCAGGCAGGATGGGGATAACAATACTGACTCTACAATTACCCATCACTTCCTTGACTAAGTATAAAAGCTGATCTAACACAGGGAGGGGGGAGAAATCACTGGCCTGAATCCATATCAAGATTTTTGTTTGTTTGTTTGTTTGTTGTTGTTGTTGTTTTGAGTCCAGTCGTGGGGCAGGAACTCTGGGCCTGGCACTATCCCTCAGTTCTTCAGCCCAAGGCTAGTGCTCTACCACTTGAGCCACAGCACCACTTCCAGCTTTTTTCCTTTTTGCTTATGTGGTGCTGTGGAATCGAACCCAGGGCCTCATGCATGCAAGGCAAGCGCTCTACCACTGAGCTACCTTCCCAGCCCTTTTTGTTTGTTTTTGAGACTTAGCTCAGGCTGGCCTTAAACTAAAATCCTCCTGCCTTTGCCTCCTAAGTGTTGGGAGTAGGGGTATGTACCACTGTGCCTGACCATATCCATATTTAAGTGTAGGAAATCTTTCTTCTTCTCCTTTCCTTTCCTTTTCCTTAGGTCCTCATATTTGGTAAACAGATGCTCTATCACCTGAGCTAAACCTACAGCCCCTTTTGCATCAATTATTTTCAAAGTTCAATCTTAGGTTATGCCTATGCACAAACTAAGCCTAGGCTGCGATCCTCCTGCTTATGCTTCCCCAGTAACTGTGGTAACAGGCATGTACCACCATGCTCAGTCATTAGTTGATATATATGGATTCTTATGAACTTTCATGCCTAAAGCTACAGCAATCAGATGACTGAAACATAGAAGATACAATAGTAGATACACTCAACTAGGGTCCTTCTTTGAGCCACAGCTCCATTTCTAGTAGTTAATTAGAATCTCCTGGACATTTTATGCCTGAGCTGACTTTGAACTGCAATCCTCAGATCTCCTGAGTAGTACTGGCATTACTGGCAAGAGCCATTGGCAATTGCCTTGCTTGGGTGTTTATTTGGCATACTGGGATGAGTGGCTGGACCCAACATGTGGAACTTCCAGTTATACTAATACCAACAATGAAATAAAATATTCTACCAAGCTTCTTTTAAATTATAATGTTTCTTGCTATTAATTAAATGCTAGACCTCTGAGAAGACAGTATGTTCCTAAACTCTGTCACACGAGGTAAAAAAATTTCTGTTAATTACTTTTTATTGATACCAGGTACCAAAGCACCCCAAGACCAAGACTAAGAAAACTTAGAATATGATTAATGTAAGTAGCAGGTGGCAAATACTTTGGGATCAGAAATTAAAGTAGAACTCTAACCAGTTTATTACTTATAAAGTTGATAACTATAATAACCTAACTCCTCCCACTTTCTACAATTATGAAATGTCTATATATAAAATCTTATAGAATCTTCACATGCAAATGTGGTTATATCAGATTAGAATATGCTGTTATACAGATCTAATTCCCAAAAGGAAAAATCACAATTGCATCAGCAGAACTCCCCAGAACATTTGTCTATCAGAGAAAAGAACCTGATGTTCATGTATAAATACATTTTACAGTGTTCTTACCTTTTTATTCTCTTGATCAGGGTGGCATCAGTTCATTTGAACAACATCACATCACTGTCTATAATCAATCCGGCATTCAAAAAAAGGCAGCTCTTCCTGAAGTAACCAGCTTTATCAGTTTCTATGTGTTTTACCTATGCTTTATCTGCTTTTTTTTTTTTTTTTTGGGTCCGGTCGTGGGGCCTGAACTCTGGGCCTGGGCGCTGTCCCTCAGCTCTTCAGCTCAAGGCTAGTGCTCCACCACTTGAGCCACAGCGCCACTTCTGGCTTTTTCTTTTTGGTTATGTGGTGCTGGGGAATTGAACCCAGAGCCTCAGGCAAGCAAGGGCAAGCGCTCCACCACTGAGCCACCTTCCCAGCCCGCTTTATCTGTTTTTGTTGTTGTTGTTTTTACTATTTAGCTAGTCCTTGGTTTTTACCACATTATAAATCAAATATATGTGGTATGAGGCATCTAACTGTTAAGGATGAAGGACAGGAAAAGTAACCAGTGTCACAGTTCTGAATGGCTAAAGAACAGGAAAGATGCCTCAAAACTAGAAAGGCATTTGTAAAAAGTAAACAGTTTGGAAAGGGAGGGATACAAGAAATTTCTGTACCAGGTGTGTCTGCTCCAGTTTGGAGCTGGGAAACCACAGGAAAGGGAAAGAGAGGCTGGATGGTAGAACTGAGCAGATAGCAGTAATGGAGTGCATCTTGCTATAATTTGCTACTCCCACATTTGTATGAGTTTGTTTTTTTTTTGGGGGGGGGAGTGGGGACTAGGGAACTGTGTGTGTGCTGGTACTGAGGCTTGAACACAGGGTCTTGTAGTCTTGCTTAGCTTTCTCATTCAAGGAGGGCACTCTACCACTTGAGCCACACCTCTATTTCTTTTCTTTTTTTTTTTTGGGTCCGGTCGTGGGGTCTGAACTCTGGGCCTGGGCACTGTCCCTCAGCTCTTCAGCTCAAGGCTAGCACTCTACCACTTGAGCCACAGCGCCACTTCCGGCTTTTTTTTTCTTTTTGCTTATGTGGTGCTGAGGAATCGAACCCAGGGCCTCAGGCTTGCAAGGCAAGGGATCTACCACTGAGCCACCTTCCCAGCCCCCCCCCCCCCCACCTCTATTTCTATCTATTGTTGGTTAATTGGAGATAAGTGTCTTGGGTATTCATCTGCCTGAGCTAGCTTTGAACCTTGATCTTCAGATCTTAACCTCTGGGCTATCTAGGATTACATGATTAAACCTACTGGATCCTGGCTTTTCTCCTGTTTTGTTTTATTTTATTTTGCACTACTGGGGCTTGAATTCTAAGCCTTGAGCTTGCTAGGCAAGTGCTCTAACGCTTGAGCCATGACATATACCAATTGTATATGCTTTAGGTTGACAGGCTATTGTTTTTAAACACATATACATGCTGCTGGTAGAACTCAGTCTCATTCATACCCCAAGCCCATGTTTATTGAGAATATTCAATCTCTTCCAGAGATAATGTCTCATAGGAATAATGACTAGGAGTATTTGTTTGTAGAATTTAGCTTAATTTATTGAACAAATACATATAGTTCCAGGATAGGGGTATATAGCTCAGTGGTAGAGGACTTGCTAGCATGTATAAGGTCCTGGGTTTGATCCCTACCATCTCTGTCTCTATCGCCCCCCCCACACCCCTAAACTAAAACAAATAAATAAAAGGTCCACAGTTCTTACCACGAGTGGGATTCTATTTCAACTAGTTTACAAGTAGTAAGTGTTTAGTTGGTAATGATAAGAAAAGGCAGGAAGGTGATGTGGTCCAATATTTGACAGACTTGGACTAAAAAGAAGAGGGATTTAAGAAGTTTATGAGCTCTTTTTTACCCAGTGGACCTTTGTTTACTAGACCAGTTACCACCTTCCCCCTAGAACCACTATTATTTATTTAGAGACAGGGTATCACTATGAATCTCAGGCTGTCCTGAACTCTTGATTCTCTAGCCTCTGCCTCCTGGTGGCATGTGCCATCACAATCAGCTCACTTACTCTTGTAAGTGAATTCCATTCTGTAGGTAGGCAGCTGTGGAACCAGGATGCACATTATGTCACATGGTCTTAGCATGCCCTGTAGATGTGGGAGGGTATGGTGCTGAAGCCACTGCCTCTGGCTGGAGGTGAGTTCCTTGGGCAGTTTGGCCTCCTAACTACAAGATGTGGCACAGACAGCAGCACCTGCTGTGACCCTAGGTGGGTCACCTTGTGCATATTTGTACAGAAGGACAATAAATCATGCTGACAGACTGGCTCAATAAACTGTGCTGATTGACCGGCTGAAAAGTGATCTGCTGGTTATGAGAGACACTAGACCAGCAAGGACAAAGACACATGGGGAAGTGGGCCATAGTTAATGTGAAATCACAGATAAAGTAAATGCTAAAAAATGTGGCATGGCTGGGAGCTGCTGGCTGGTGCCTATAATACTAGCTACTCAGGAGTCTGAGATCTGAGGATCCAGGTTTGAAGCTAGCCCAAGCAGACAATCCACAAGGCTCTTATCTTCAGTTGACCAGCAAAAAGCCAGAACTGGAGTCACATGAGTGAAAAATCTGAGAGAACGAGGCCCTAATTTCAAGCCCTAGTACTGGAACACAGACAAAGAATTACCTTAGCTTAAAATTGTATTTGGGCTAGGTGCCAGTGGCTCACACCTATAATCCTAGCTACTCAGGAAGCTGAGATGTGAGGATCACAGTTCAAAGCCAACCCCAGCAGGAAAGTCTGTGAGACTCTTATCTCTAATTAACCACCTCAAGTGGTAGAGTGCTAGCCTTGGGCTGAAGAGCTTCTTAGGGACAGCACCCAGGCCCAGAGTTCAAGCTCCATGACCACCAACAACAACAACAAAAATTATATTCAATATTTAGAAATAAGTGGATTGTCATGAATGTCATCATCCTGACATGTAAATAATACACAAGTACTCTTAACAAGCTAGAAGATCAAATTGCTTGACTACAATGGTCAATATTATCTTCCAAAAATTTCTTGTGAATATCAAAATATGATCTGAAGGGCAGAGTTACAGCTCTGGCCCATGCCCTACCACTCAGGAGATCCCCATCTCCCTTGGCCACATGGCTACCTCATCATTCACCGAGGAGGACAGGAACTATGGGATGGCTTTGAATCCTAATCCTCCAGATCTCAGGATCCTAAGTAGTTAGATGAGAGATCTAGTCACTCAGCTAACTGTATCTCTTTTTTGTGTGTATACTAGGAATACAGATGTGGACCACTACCACCCAGCTTATATCATCTTTTACCCTCTTTCCAGATTCTTTTTCAGTGTAATGCTGCCTTTTTAAAAAATAAAATAAAGTTTTCTGTATTTGATTATTCTTCAGTTTCTTTCTTTTATGGTGCTGGGGACTAAACCCAGGGATTTTTGCATACTAGGCAAGTGCTCTACAACTGAGCTATACCTTCAGGCCAGCTGACTTTTAAAAAACATAATTCTTTTAATTCTTAGGGAATGCTGTTTCATATTTCAGAGCCTTTGTTGTAAATATAATTTAAGCATGTTACATGTTCAAGAGTAGACATATAAAGAAATCTACAGTAAACACTAGCTGACTAGAGTACTGAGAGAATTGGATCTGGTAACAAAATGTGATTAAGAAAATGTTGTTGGCCAGGCCAAGTACCTTTCATGCCCAGATTCCTAGGAGAGTCAGATTGAGATTAGGAGGATGGGAATTGGAGACCCACCTGGCCAAAAGTTAGGGAATTAGGGAGTCCCCATCTCAACTGCGTGCCTGTTATTCCAACTACATGGGAAGCATAACCAGGAGGCTAATAGTACAGGACAACCCAGGCATAAATATGAGGCTGTATTCTGGGAGATAAACACCATTTCATAATAAAATAGATTAAGAGTTTAACCAGTTACTAAGCTTACAACTTGGAGAGGAATTTCAATGTTTTATGTATCATATTTTGTCTTTTTTTTTTTTTTAACTCTCCAAGATATCTCTAAGATTACAGAGAAAATTGGGAGAGACAGGATCTCTTCTTTCTTCCTGGTGTGTTTTGAGTCTATTTTCTGTAAGAGATTTATATAGGAGCCTCACAGAACTTTTTCTGACAGTCATTCCCATCTTCACCCAAGTAGTTCTTTTCAACTAAAAAAATACTCCCTAGGAGAGAACTATGGTTCTGCACAAGTTACTTTAGGCTTTGTCTTCTTTCTTAGCAGAAAAATTCCAAATCTACTTTAACATTAAATTCACTTACTATATATATTGTTACTTTAAAATTTTAATTATGTAACTATAACCCCTCTGTACATCACCTTTATACTAACAAAAATAAAAATAGTATCTGAGGCTGGGTGCCAGTGGCTCATGCCTGTAATCCTAGCTACTCAGGAGGCTGAGATCTGAGGATTATGGTTCAAAGCCAGCCCAGGCAGGAAAGTCTGTGAGACTCTTATCTCAAATAAAAACCACTGGAAAACTGGAAGTGGCGCTGTGGCTCATGTAGAAGAGCACTCGCCTTGAGCTGAAGAGTGCAGGGACAAGGCCCAAGCCCAGAGTTCAAGCCCCACGACCGACCCCCCCCCCCCCCAAAAAAAAAAAATAGTATCTGAGGCAAGGGCCTATTATACTAGCTACTCAGGAAGCTGAAATCTTAGGACCATTGTTCAGATCCAGCCTAGGCAGAAACATCTGTGAGACTCTTATCTTCAGTTAACACCAAAAAAGCCAGAAGTGGAACTGTGGCTCAAATAGTAGAGTGTTAGCCTTGAATGAAAAAGCTCAGGGACAGCACCCAGGCCCTGAGTTTAAGCCCCAGGACTGGCCCAAACACAAAAACAGTATCTGAGTCATGACACTTCACATTATTTTGCCACAAAGTACAGTCATAATATAAAATATACTTTTCAGGTTACACAAAAAAGGATTCATTAATTGGTCTGTGTTTACTTATCAGTAATAGATACAATTTGCTAAGAAGATAACAATTTACAAGGACAGAAAGGAATTTGGTATTACCTTTAAAGATTGTCTCTTAGTCACATAATTTTCAGACAGCAGCAGTTTTTCATAGTCTTCAAAAATCTAATGGGAAGAAAATAGAAGCATGTAAAGCAGCAGTGAGTTCTCATTAGCTCAGTTGCTCTGATCTTCAGGAGGTTGTGTTTATTGTTTTGTGTTCTGATCCCCCGGCTAGTTATTGCTGTCTGCTGGAGGCTCACTTTCTTACCCTCCTTCTCTACACAGGAAGCTTCTATAGGATGAGAAGGCCAAGGAATACAGGAGACATAGTGTTCTAGTTTAGTTCTGTGAATTAGAAATTAACTCAAAAAACATAATTTTGAGCTCTCTCAGAATGTTTGGATTAAACATTAAAAATTATGAGATAATTCATTTTATGATACTTAAAAAATCTGTTTATTAAGCCTGATAGTGAGAGCCCAAAAACAATTTGGGGAAAGAATAAATACACTTCAAGGTTCACTCAGCAATTCATGAAGGGTCAAACTGTCAAGTCCACAGTGTGAACAGCTGAGAAATTGACCATGCTAACCCCATTTGGCTTATCTGGAGAACTTCTGATCAGAAGCTATGGACATTTGGCACATTAGGTGTCACTATGTGCTCCTGTGTCCTTATGTGGTCACCAATTATGCTCTAAATCCTTTACTTTAACACAGAGCACAGCAGCTAGGGAAACGGCATCCCTAGGCAAACCGGGGCATACTGATCAGAGACACTGCCTGGAAGAGCAAGCAGTCTGGATGAAGGCAAGAGAATTCAAGAAAGGAAGAGTAGTCCCAACTTCTGAGAGCTGAGCATGAGGGTGTGTGTGTGTGTGTGTGTGTGTGTGTGTGTGTGTGTGTGTGTGTGTGTGTGTGTGTGTGTGTGTGTGTGTGTGTGTGTGTGTGTGTGTGTGTGTGTGTGTGTGTGTGTGTGTGTGTGTGTGTGTGTGTGTGTGTGTGTGTGTGTGTACCTGTGTAGTAAGGCAAGCTGTGCACAAGAATGTAGTCCCAGCTTCTGAGAGCAGAGCATGGGTGTGTGTGTGTGTGTGTGTGTGCGCGCGCGTGTGCGTGTGTGTGTGTGTGTGTGTGCGCGCGCCTGTGTAGTAAGGCAAGCTGTGCACAACAATAACCACTGGTAGAGAATTAAAGTGAAAATAAAAGCTAAAATATGTAGATCACATTAAAATCATGGTATATTCTTTCTTATAAATGACATTTGTTCAGTTCTCAGATACAAAGGGGATATTATGGTTTGCATTAAAAAAGGCTCATATGTCTAAGATTTGATCTCTAGCTGGTGTTATTATTGATAGGTAATTGGATTATGGCAACTCTTAACATTATCAACAGATTAATCCTTTGGTGAACTCTTGTCTGAGTAGACAGTTAGGAGGTGGAGCCTAGTTAGAGGAAGTAGGTCACCAGGGGCACGTCTTTGAAGGATCTATTATCATCCCCTGACCTTCATCCATTAGTTCTGTCCCAGCATAAGCCCAGAAACATGGAGTCAAGTGAGCATGGTCAGTGAACTATGTCTAATTCTAGAACTTGGGAGCCACAATCAGGATGATTTTGAGTTCAAAGAAAGATCAGACTATATAGCAAGACCTTCTCTAAAATAGGAAAGGATGGAGGGAAGGAAGGAGAAAAGATCTGACTGACTATATAAGTATGAAATATTTGAGGAAAACATGAATGCTCTCTCAGAGTAAGTATCCAGGCCAACCCAGCAGACACAGTGTCTGTGAAACCATGAAATTGTCAGACATATCTATATAAAACTCAAGGTTAGATAAGTAAAAGCTCAAGAATGAGCATACTAGCAATTGTATATATACATATATACATTGTTTTTTGCCCTTAATGACATAAACTCCTGTAATATAAAATATATAGGTTTGGTAATAATAGCATGCACACAAATATTTAAAATTTATTGGTTTGGTTGGACACTGGTGGCTTATGCCTGTAATTCTAGGTAGTCAGGATTATGGTTTGAAGCCAGCCCAGACAGGAAAGTCTGTGAGATTCTTATTTCTAATTAGCCACCAAAAATAAATAAATAAAGCAAAAAATAGAGCTGTGACTTAAGTGGTAGAGCACTAGCTTTGGGCACAAAAGTTCAGGGACAGTGTCCAGGCCCTGAATTCAAGCCCCAGGACACACATACATACACATACCAAAACAAAAACAAACTAACAAGCCCAGCTTATGGGTTTGTTGCTGGGCATGGCAGTGCCCATTTATAATCTTAGCACTTAGGAGGCTAATGCAAGAGGATCCTAAATCCAAAGACAGCTTCAGTTGTCTCAGTAAACAATTAAAAAAATATATTGGTTTGAGAATTAATATAAATATTTAGGTGGTCTGTTTAGACAGCATATTATATTACTACAATTATTATGCTAGGAGATGGCAATGCAAAGAGTAGTAAAACTAATACATGTAAAATAAATCTCAACAAAAATAAGTTCAGGTGTTACTGCTTCCACCAACCACCAGGATCATCATTCTGGGTCATGGCTATAATCTGTCCCATCACTCACAAACCTGTGTTATTTATATAAGGCCATATGTGGCTACTGAGCATTTTTTTTTCTTTCTGTTGTGGGGCTTGAACTCTGGGCCTGAGCACTGTCCCTCAGCTCTTCAGCTCAAGGCTAGCGCTCTACTACTTGAGCCACAGTGCCACTTCTGGCTTTTTTCTTTTTGCTTATGTGGTGCTGAGGAATCGAACCCAGGGCCTCAGGCATGCAAGGCAAGCGCTCTACCACTGAGCCACCTTCCCAGCCCTAAACTATACTTTTTTTTCTTTTTGGTTGGTCGTGGGGCTTGAACTCTGGGCTTGGGCGCTGTCCCTGTGCTCTTCAGCTCAAGGCGAGCACTCTACCACTTGAGCCACAGCAGCCACTTCTGCTACTGAGCATTTAAATTGAGATGTGCTGTAAGTATAAATATATACCAGATTTCAAAGACTCAGTATGAAAACAGAATATAAAATAGCTCAATCATTAATATACATTAATATGCTGGGTTAAATAAATGTATATTATAATTTAAATGAACTTTTTTTTGCCTTTTTGGTGAACTAGAAAATTTAAAGTCACATGGTGATTATATTTGTGGCAGGGCATTATGTTTTAGCTAGACAGGACTGTGCTATGACAACTGAATCAATAGGAATAAATTTATAGTTTTGTTTCTAGATTTGTTCTAGCTATGATCTACTTAATCATACTGTTTGAATTTTTTATGTATTTAGGAAAACCATGGTGGCTCTTGCATGGGTCTGTTCCAACACTTACTAGTTACCACCCAGTATAAGGAAGGAAGTTAGATATTATTTTTTTTTTTGGTCAGTCGTGGGGCTTGAACTCTGGGCTTGGGTGCTGTCCCTCAGCTCTTCAGCTCAAGGCGAGCACTCTACCACTTGAGCTACAGCGCCACTTCCAGTTTTCTGGTGGTTTACTGGAGATAGGAGTCTCACAGTCTTTCCTGCCAGGGCTGGCTTTGAACTGCGATCCTCATTTCTCAGCCTCATGAGTAGCTAGGATTATAAGTGTGAGCCACCAGTGCCCGGCTGAAGTTAGATTTTATTAAGGATATAATAAATAATGATAAAACTAATACTGAGTACTTATCACAGCTCTGTGCTAAAATATTCAAATCTTGTCAAATTCCATCAAGAGCCTTCTGATGTAAGATATATCTGACAGAAGATGCAGTAATGTGTCCAGGACCACAGAGTTAGTAAAGAGGACAATCCAGTCTAGAAGCAAGGCAAGTAAGCAGATTTTAAAGATCTACAAATGAGGTTCTGCCACTTGAGCTGCTCAGGGGCAGCCAGAAAGACACTTACAGACCAAAATAATACAATTGTGAAAAATTGGAGTGGGTAAAAGAGAGTGAAACTGAGAGAAGATATTTGGGGAAAAGAGTAGGATTAGAGAAAGCATCCTAGAAGAGAGACATTTCAGCTGAATCTGAAAAATATGTGTTCAGTTCACCATTGGAGAAGAAGTTGAAAGAGGATATTTCTTTTTTTTTCTTTTTTTCAGTCATGGGGCTTGAACTCTGGGCCTGGGTGCTGTTTCTCAGCTCTTCAGCTCAAGGAGAGTGCTCTACCACTTGAGCCACAGCACCACTTCTGGTTTTCTGGTGGCTAATTGTAGGTAAGAATCTCATAACTTTCCTGCCTGGGCTGGCTTTGAACTGCAGTCCTCAGATCTCAGCCTCCTGAGTAGCTAGGATTACAGGCATAAGCCCCTGGCACCTGGCTAAGAGGGTATTTCTGTTATTTAGTAAATCTAATTATATAAAACTAAGTAAAATTATTTTAGTAAGGTGCAAGATTATCTACTGTCTTTCACCAACAAGTATTATCACTTTTTTTTTGTCTGGTCCTGGGTCTTGAACTCAGGGCCTGGGCACTGTCCCTAACCTTCTTTTGCTCAAGGCTAGTACTCTACCACTTGAGCTACTTCTGGCTTTTTCATGATTAATTGGGTAAGAGTTTAACAGACCTTGCTGCTCAGGCTAGCTTCAAAACAAAATCCTTACATCTCAGCCTCCTGAGTAGCTAGGATTAAAGGTATGAGCCACTGGTGCCCAATTATTACTACTTTTTGATTGTACTAGGGCAGATCTTCTATATGACCAGCAAACACTATCACTGACTTATACTCCTGAGTTTTTCTATTCAAGATCAAAGTAAGCAAGTCATTACTGGAAGCTCTGCAGCACAACAGAAAGAGATGTGAAAGATGAGAACCCCGACCTCCTACCAACCTCAATTTTCCTAAATTATCAGGTCTATGGCTGAGTATGGTTTATTTCACTTATGCATGATAAGAATGATTGCCTAAATATTTAAGATGAGAAAGTGAGACAGATAGGATCTAGTTCTCCCTAGAGACTAAAGCAGTGGCTAACTATTGTTTCTTCTTCTTTTTGGGGGGGAGGCGGGGGGGTCCGGTTGTGGGGCCTGAACTCTGGGCCTGGGCGCTGTCCCTTAGCTCTTCAGCTCAAGGCTAGTGCTCTACCACTTGAGCCACAGAGCCACTTCTGGCTTTTTTCTTTTTGCTTATGTGGTGCTGAGAAATCGAACCCAGGGCCCCATGCATGCAAGGCAAGTGCTCTACCACTGAGCCACCTTCCCAGCCCCTAACCATTGTTAAATATTGTCAAATGCTATGAGGCATTGTTGAATGCTGTTGAGAATGTTTTTTATGTTGAGCTTTTTTTTCTGTTTTTCAAAAGTCTCCACTGTAAGCATCCTGCAATCCCCAGCCTACCACCTGTGGTTAAGTTCAGGCCTTTGAATGGCAGTGGGAAGATCCTTCACTTGTGCCTGGCAGCCTGGAGTGAGGAACTGTGAGCTGAGAAGTTTTATCTTGGGCAACTAGTCAGAGTGCTAGCATGACAGCATGGCTGATTTAGATTCTTTACACTCTGAGAACACTTTATCAGTAAGGACTACTATAATTGATGCTAGGACTTCCTGCTCCAGGAGTCCTTGTTTCAGTCACAACCACATCAGACCACTTTCAATGGCTTTGAAAGGTAGCATCCCAGGCAAGACAAGCCTCAATGAAACTTAAATGACCCTACAGCTATTCTTACTCAAGATGGGAGAGGACGTTACTTGGTAGTTACACAGCAAGAAGCCTATGATTAGTAGAACTTGAAGCAGTGCTGAGATTGGTACAAATATATTCCTTAATTTGCATGCCACACCCATCCCCCCTAAACTGGCTAATAAGCTGGATATTCAACTCACTTGATTCAAAAGGGAAACACTGGGGCTGGGAAGGTGGCTCAGTGTTAGAGTGTTGCTTTGCATGCATAAGGCCCTGGGTTTGATTCCTCAGCACCACATAAGCAGAAAAAGCTAGAAGTGGCTCAGGTGGTAGAGCATTAGCCTTGAGCTGAAGAGCTACGGACAGGCCCAAGTTCAGGCCCCATGACTGACAAAAAAAAAAAAGAAGAAAAGAAAAGAAAAAGGGAAACACCCGATTGCCTCATGTAATATTGTTATATCATTGTAATATTAGGCCCAAATGGTCTTTTCTTGCCTGTTTGTGGCTTTAGTCATAAATAGAATATGCTAACCTGATAATACAAAGAAGATGGCAGCAAAAGTGGCAGTAGTGGAGAGTGTGGCAGATGTTGAAGGACAGTGGAAGTATAACGAAGGTCCCGGTCACTGGATGAGTTCCCAAGATTTGCCATGCCTTGAATGCTGGGAAATTGCAAATGCCCAAAGCTTGAGAACTGTAACACTAGCTACCCTGAGTTTTGCTAAATGCTGCTGTGTTAGCTGCTGCTCAGAGCTGAGGATTTTGCTAGCTATTGAGTACTGAGTCTCTGGCAATTCAAACCAAAAGCAGTAAGCTTCTGATCACATAGATCTGTAGTTCTCTGCTTATAAGGTATGGAGTCCTAAGTCTCTAGCTTTTTGGGCTTGAAGCTCTTGCAAGCCTCTGTGTCTGTCAAAACAGTCCATAAGCTTTTGGCACACAAAGACTCAGAATAGGAGACACTAATATATGATGGAATTCTATGCTTCCATCAGAAAGAATGACACAGCATTAGAAAATGGAAAAACTTTGAAAAAAATCATATTAAGTGAAATAAGCCAGACCCAAAGAAATATAGGTACTATGGTTTCCCTCATATGCAATAATGAGGGAAATAGTATGTCTAGGATAATTTTATCAGATGAGCAGAAAACTCAAAAGCTATGTACATATGACCATATAAGATGATGCGAAGGGAAATGAACCCCAAGATATGGACACAAGAGGTCTTTGGTGTTGTTGTTGTTGTTTTTAATGTACTATGTGATTTTTTTTTGTTTCCTTTGTATGTTCTCCCCACTATGGGGAGAAAACATACTTGTACTTGATTTTGGTACATCTTGTATATACAGTTATCTAATTTGGGAAGGGGAAGGGGAATAACAAAATGCTGAAACAAGGACACAGGATGATCCATTGCAACAATGATACTCACAAGAAACTATGTTGGAAATGAACTTTACAACTTCTGGGTGCGGGGGAGAAGTGGGGGAGGGAAGGGATAGTGGGAGAAAAACAAAGAAGGGGGTTAACAATGCTTGACAAGAAATGTTCTCATTACCTTATTCCTGTAACTGTAACCCCTCTGTACAGCATCTTTACAATAAAATAAAATTTAAAAATAAAAAAGAATAAGAGACACTACAAGAACTCTACATCACATACTCACAATTTCTATCCGAGTGTAACAAAAGGACCCCAGCCAACTCCTTAATAACAAAAGGAAGAAAGAAAGATGTATAGTCTTAAAAATGATTTATACTTACAGTGTCATAATTTTGTTCTAAGAAATCTGCAACCAACACTTTATGTCTGGTTAGTAAATCCTAGAAAGAGAACAAGCAAGTAAAACAAAATTACTATGGCTAGTAAATTTTATGTAGTTAACTAAAATTTAAAATAAGTCTTTATTTCTATATTTTGAGAAATCCATTAATTTAAAACATGTAAAAGCTGCAAAGAGTATTTTGTTTACACCACCAAATTGATTCCATTCTTATTGTAGTTTAGGATGAGAAATACAAAGTTTGTTTCAGGTTAAACAAAGAATACATTATTAAACTAGTGTTGTTAATTTCCATTACTATTAGATTTATCATAGAAATAAGTAACTGGTAAAATATGACACAGAAGAACTGAATTTATAGTACGATTCTTCAACTATTAACTCTACAGTTATAATAAAAATTAAAATAAAATGTAAGGCTAAAAAATGTCACTAGTAACCATTTTTGTTTTTTTTTTTGAGACAAGTATTACTATTTCTCAAGCTAGTTTCAAACTCCTGAACATGAACCACCTCAGCCTCCTGCATACTGGGAATGAATATAGGTACAAGCCATTAGGCCTGGCTTCACCTTCTTTTTCCTAGCAGGTTTGAACTTGGTCCTCACATTTGCTTGGTAGGTGCTCTACCAATGAAGACACATTTCTAAGCCCTTTTTGCTTTAGTTTATTTTTAAAGTAAGGTCGCACATATGTTGTCTTGGGCTAGTTATAGACAATGATCCTTCTGGGTTCACAGATTCATGCCACTATGCTCAGCCTTTTTGTTGAGATAGGACACTAACTTTTTGCTTGGACTGGTCTCAAACTTCAGTCCTTCTGCTCTCTTTTTCCAAATAGCTAGGATTAGAGGTGTGAGCCACTGTGCCTAGCACTCATTAAAAAAAAAAAAAGTGAATGATGTAAAACTTTACCTCAAAAGTTTAACATATTTTTGAGGATTTAACTTCTCATTACTTTCCTAACCACTCTTAAATGGAGGTGCTTTGGACCCTGGGAAATACAGGGATGACATTTAACAGGGGTATCTCAGAAATTTCCTGTTTGTTTTCTGTTGAGTGCACAGTGCAAGTTATTAAGTGTCACAAAGCATCCTTTCACAGATGGGGTGAATTGTTTCTATCTTATTACAGATACAAACTTTCAGAAAACTGCACAAAAGCATGAAACTTTTGGGTGTTTATCTCATGCCTTAGTAATATCCTTATTTTACCTTAATGTGAAAGACCTAATCCCTTTTGTATGCTTAGAGGCTAAATATCCTGTTGAGGTGCTGTGTAGAATTTAATTAAGAAAAATATCTTTTAAATGTTTCCCAAGATAAAGCCTTATACTTTAATGCATACTTAATTAAAAAATTCCAAAAGTATGTCGCAATATAACGTCATAGAAAAGGCAAAGCATTTTTGACCTATTATTTTTCCCTTGGTGCTGGGCACTGAACTCAAGCTTGTGAATGCTATGCAAAACTCTACCACTGAGCCACAGCTATAGTCTTTGTATTTTACTTTATGTAATTATTATTGGTATTTAGGGGTCTGATCTTCCTACCTATGCCTCCTGCATAGCTGGGATTATAGGCATGCGCTACCACGTCCAGCTATTTTCTTAGTGGTGATATTTTCGTTGGAACTCAGGGCTTCACACTATCTAAATTGGTGCTCTTACACTAAGCAGCACTGGGGATTTTCTGAGCTAACTTGGTGCAGAAGGGCTTTCATTCTAGGCTACCACAGACACTGTGGGAGTTCTCCACCTGTTACAATCATCAGGTGCAGAGTAAGGACTGGGCACTTCCACAGCTGCAGCAGAGCACTGACTAATCACTGCTGTCTAGAAAGGTTTTTATGTACTAGTGCAGTCCTAGGGAGAAAGGAGACAAGTCAGAGTTAGGACCCAAATAGAACCAGACCCTTCAAGTTCCAAGAGCAAGGGGGAAAGGGGGTGGAGGAGTGTAGAGAAGAAAAAAAGAAAAAGAAATAACTTAAAAATACCAAACCCAAAATAGGAAAATATCATATGATAAAGTAGGATTCCTTCAACAACTATATGATGGACATAGCCAACATATGAGAAGCCCTCTGTCTGTCTCTGCCACATATAACCAGCTTGAGTGTGTTTATAAGATATATAAGTCCTCAAATGTACATATATAAGTATATATATGCAAAAACTGGAAGAACCTTATCATATATAAGAAAATGGTCAAGAATAAAAGGTCAAATTTAAAAGAGTTAAAAAACAGGAAGTGGCGCTGTAGCTCAAGTGGTAGAGCGCTCGCCTTGAGCTGAAGAGCTGAGGGACAGCACCCAGGCCCAGAGTTCAAGCCCCACGACCGACAAAAATAAAATAAAATAAAATAAAATAAAAAGAGTTAAAAAACAAACATAGCTGGGTGCCAGTGGCTCTGAGCTATAATACTAACTACTCAGGAGGCTGAGATCTGAGGATAGTGATTTAAAGCCAGCCTTTTAGGAAAGCCATGAGACTCTTATCTTTAGTCAATCATCAAACAACAACTACTACTACAAGTAGAGTGGGGCAGTAGAATGCAAGCCCTAAGCAAAAAAGTTCAGGAACTGTGTGCCCAGGCCTTGGGTTCAAGCCCTAGTACTAGCATATAGATAAATAAGTAAAAAATAACAAATTAATAGTATTTGAAGTAGTGTGTTCTTTTATCCTAGTACTTAATAATTCTGATTGGATATGGCTAAGTTATGCATAGTATAATAATTATATAAAAATTACAGTAAAATCTGACCTTGACATTTCTAGCAGATCTGTTTAGGAGAAACTTGGGGAAGAGTGACAGATATTCTCAGGGATGGATGAGACTGTCAAGCCAGTAGCAGTTGCCACTTACTAAGGGCTTGTGAATTGCTGAGTAGTGTACCAAACATTATTATACTTGATGGATTATTTCTAATCTTTGTAACAACTGTGTGAGACAGGGATTATTTTCTTCATTTCACAGACAAAGAAAATGGGGGGCTGGGAAGGTGGTTCAGTGGTAGAGCACTTACCTTGCATGCATGATGCCCTGGGTTCAATTCCTCAGCACCACATAAGCAAAAAGAATAAAAGCCGGAAGTGGCGCTGTGGCTCAAGTGGTAGAGCGCTAGCCTTGAGCTGATGAGCTGAGGGACAGCACCCAGGCCCAGAGTTCAGGCCCCATGACCGGACCCCAAAAAAAAAAAAAAAAAAAAAAAAAAAAGAAACACAGACGAAGAAAATGAAACTCAAAGATTAACTTAGCTCAGGGACATATAGATAATCTGGTGGCCAAGAGAAGGAATTCAAGCCATTCAATTACACAGGTCCTTGGAGGGAGAGACAAGAGATGATTGTAAAGAGTCTTGTTATTGAGAGAGGGGTCTACACAGAAGTGGAGATATAGCTTAAGTAGTAGAACCTCAGCCTTGTGGGAAAAAGCCAAGCAAGAGTACAAGGTCCTGATTATGAGTGCCAGTACCACACACACACAAAACAACAAAAACCTCTCCCCCCATCCTCCCTTCCCCCGCTTTTTTGGAAACAGACTCCTAATATGTAGGACAGGCTGGCTTTGAACTTGGGATTCTCCTACATTAACTTCCTCAGTGCTAAGATTATAGGCATGAGTCATACATCTGGTAACAGGGCTATTTTTAAATACATATAATTCATTGAGTATGTATTTTCCCCATTAGAGCTTATTATATGCTTGTAATTATATGAAACCTTATTTACATTTTTCTTTTTTTTTTTAAAAGGAGCTAACTTGTTGCCATGATAGCAAAGAGCTATCAAACAGGAAAGACAGAAAAACTTGGGATGGGTGGAAGGACTCAATATCTGTTATTAGAAAACATCTCAATTTTTAAGGCGTTAGGCACTTTGGTAGAAAGTCTTCCTATGCTAAATGCCATGTTTGACGCAAGGGAGGTCTACCTTGTCCTGAGCATTGGCTTCCCCTTTTCTGGAGGTTGATGGGTAGCCAAAGTGCAATATGTGATTGCCAGTGAGAGTAAGCTGTCTGAAATGGATTAGGCTCCTATGTCTCACAGCCTCACACCCATACACCCTGGACTTTATTCCTAGGTTTTCCTTTCTCTCCTCATTCTGCTCTGCTATGGCCTTCCTTCTACTCCCTTTTCTTTAATATCCCTTGTTGGATTCCAGCTTAACATGACTACAGACATCTTGGTCAAAACCTCCATCCTGCCTGCCAGGTGACCTTGGCCTATAGCCCAAACCCAATAGGGTAAATAAAGTCATTAAGATAGTCAGCCAAGCCCCTAGACTGTTTAACTGATGTTGGATATGTTAATAGTTTTTGAGAAAGGCCAGGTACATTCCAGTTGGCTGCACACTACCTTAGTCTAGCTCATATATAAACCCCTTCATTCTGTATTAGATTACAAGAATCCTCTCTTGCTGCTGCCCAAGACACATTTCCTTAAGTCTGTAAGTCCTGAACAAATTACACTGTGTACAACTGTGGGTCTGTCTGCCTTGCCTCACTCTTCTGGCACCTTCCATCTTTGATGGCCAGTTCCCATCCACTGAGACTGAGTTTCTCTGAAGCTCTCTTTCTTTACTTCTCTCTTGTGTCCTTTCCTGTCTTGCCAAGACTTCCTGGCATGGGTTCTTTCCTCCTCCCTCCTCATCTCAAGGAGAATCTAGGAGGCAGGCAGACAGGATGGAAACATGTGGAACATTGGAGTAGGTGGTGCCCATCCTCACCTCCAATCTCTCTAAACTCTTCACTCAAAGAAATTGGCTTCTTGTACTAAATACCTTTTTGTTTTGTTGTGTCAATACTGGGGCTTCAACCCGGGGCTTCTCATACTTGCTTGGCTTCTTTTGCTTAAAGATGGTGTCCTACCATTTGATCCAGGCCAGTTCCAAGGCTGGTCACTTTCAGTGATACTTCTGGGGAAGGATGGTGCTGTAGCACCTTTCTTCCCTACTCTCAGGGCATTCAGCACTGCCTCCAAAGTGGACACCCATTTGTGACAACAGAAATGCCACAGTTAACTGGCACCCTCCTCCTAGGCCAGCTGAAGTTGCGTAAGCATGTCCCTTGGATCTCCCCACCCCACCAGGATGGCCTTCCAATATTCCCATCATTCTTACACTGTATCCTTTTGACACTAGTTCTTGCCATTTAATTTCCTCATTTTCATTATATTTCTAAAGATGCCCTTGTTTCCCTTACAGATTGTGTTTCAAGCAGCTGTACAGACCTGCCTCCCCAATCTTGACAGGCCCAGAGTTCACTTACCACGGCTCCATTCTTATTACACTGAAAAGATCTCTATGCTCAGCCCACAGGGCCCCCTCCCCCCCCAACACACAACAGATCATGCTCAATTCCTTTCCTTCCATCAGTTTTCCCTTTTCCTTAGGCTCTTTTTCCACTGTCTCACTCCAATCTCTTGTCTGTTATTACTTTCTACTCTCTCACACATATGACCATATGAGCTAATACACTTAAAAAACAACAACAGATTTAAGGCACCTTCACAGAACAGGCTGAGTAAATCCCAGCCTGCAGATACACAGTTTTAAGCACGGCACATCACTTTCTCTTTTCTCTGGAAAGCTATTAAAAAGTGTTAAGACAGGCACTGGTGGCTCACCCCTCTAACCCTAGCTATGCAAGAGGCTGAGATCTGAGAATCAAAGTGGGAAGCCAGCCCATGGAAGTCAAGTCCTCAACATCTCTTATCTCCAATTAACCAACAAAAAGATGGAACTCAAAATATGGCTCAAGTGTTAGATAAGCAAAAGCACGAAGTCCTAAGTTTAAAGCCCCATTAAAAAATGGTAGGGCCACAAATATAAGTAAATGTTATTCTAAAATAGGAAACTTGAAGATAATATTCACTGGATATGTAAGTCTGGTAAGTTTTGAATATTAGCTGTACATTTTTCTGATATGAGCTCTGAACATCTTTTGATGGTAAAATACATAGAAACAGAAATAGTAATGGTTGCCAGGGACTATAGGGAAAGTTGTTTAGAGGGCATAGAGCTTTAATTGGTAAGATGAAAAAGTTCAGGAGATTATATACCCAGCAGTGAATACTAACCTATTTACACTGAAAATTATTAAGATGGCAAAATTTATGTTTATTGTATCATAATTAAACATTTTAAGTTAAAAAATAAATTGTATGTGTGTTTCCTACATGCCAAAGTAGATTATAGATGATAATTGTATGGATGATTATGGTTATCTGCACCATCAAATACAAATATACAGAGCTAACCAGTCATACTATCAAAATGCCAACATAATTATTTATTTATTTTTTTATTTTATTTTTTTTGGGTCTGGTCGTGGGGCCTGAACTCTGGGCCTGGGTGCTGTCCCTCAGCTCTTCAGCTCAAAGCTAGTGTTCTACCACTTGAGCCACAGCGCCACTTCTGGCTTTTTTCTTTTTGTTTATGTGGTGCTGAAGAATCGAACTCAGGGCCTCATGCATGCAAGGCAAGTGCTCTACCACTGAGCCACCTTCCCAGCCTGCAACATAATTCTTCTTTATTGTTTTTATTTTTTATTGTGAGAATACCGTTCAGAGGAGTTACAATTACATGGGCAAGATAACCAACATAATTCTTTAGTATTGTATTTAGCACTGTGAAAATTTAACAAGTACAGTGACAAGACAATGTGATGGCCTCCATCTTCTAAACTGTAATTCTCTTTCTCCTCTTTCTACCAAGTTCCTCTCCCTGGAAGTAACGTCTGTTGCTGCTTCCTATATCCTTTCAGAAGTATACTGTGCATATGTATCTCATATAGAAGCTTATACTCTTTTTGTTTGTTTGTTTGTTTGTTTTTGGTCGGCCGTGGGGCTTGAACTCTGGGCCTGGGAAGCTTATACTCTTTAATCTGCTTTTCACATAGATAGCATGGCAGAATAAAGTTAATGTTATAATGCTTTCCATATGAGCTTATATTTCTCCATGTGACAGACTAGCTTCACAGGCTACAATTCATTTACTGGTGCTTCTTATGATCCATGTCACATGTGATTGGCCACAACTATGCCTAAGGAAGAGAATTTTTTTCCTTTTAAAATTAAATTGCCTTTTCAGAAGCTAAATGACCTATTTCATTCAGAAAAAAAATTACCTTAAAAGTAGCAAAGGCATCTGATGCAATATCAAATGTTGACAACTCCACATACTTGAAGAAATCTCTGAATTGATCAGAAAAGAGGATAATTTTGGCAAGTGGTTCATATCGAACACATTCTCTCAGCATAATCCCACAACGTAAGGCAATCTGTGGGGCTTCATATCTAAAGCATAAACAAGGTAGAAACAAAGAACTTTTGTTATCTGATTAACAAAATAACATCAATGATTTCAAAAGGACCATTTCAATACTGCTGCTAATGGAAACAGATACTATTTGTTACAGCTCATTCAGACACCACTCATTCAACACCCATTATCTGTAATGTGCCTGGCACTACTCCAGACACTGAGATATAACAGCAAGCAGGCCAAGGTCATTGTCATCACAGCCTGCCTATTTTAGTGAGGACAGAGCATTTTGTGGATGAAGAGGATGCATATAAACAATGTAAATTAGTTTTATGCATTCAAACGTGTTGTGAAAGGGCTGGGAAGGTGGCTGAGTGGTAGAGTGCTTGCCTTGCATGCATGAAGTCTGGGTTCGATTCCTCAGCACCACATCAGCAGAAAAGCCAGAAGTGGGGCTGAGGTTCAAGTGGTAGAGCGCTAGCCTACAGCTGAAGAACTGAGGGACAGCGCCCAGGCCCAGAGTTCAGGCCCCACGACCGACCAAAAAAAAAAATAAAAAAGTGTTGTGAAGACTGAAGACAAACTGGGTAATATTACAGAATGCAAGTATGTAAGTTGTGTGTGTGTGATCCTTTAATTTTTATTTTACTCAAATTAATTTTATTTTATTCAAATGTCAAGGGAAGGGGCAAAGTGTTCTAGGCAGTGGTACAATGGCTATAAGACAAAAACAAGCAAGAGTTGGAAAAAAAAGAAATACAGTTAGAGTGGTGGAATATAGGTTACAGTAGTGAGTAGTATCACAGCAGGCTAAAGAGGAAGACAGTACAAGGTAGGACAGGGCAAAGTGAGATCATACTCAGGTTTGTAAGCCAAGATAAGCAGTTTGGTTTTATTTTAAGAGTGATAGGAAGCCTTTGGAGAGTTTAAAGCAAGAAATTAACTCAACCTAATGGCTTTGGGGCTGAGGATATAGCTCAGTGCTGTAACACATCTACCATGAATGGAAGTCTGGGTTCCTTTCCCTGCACTACAGCAAAGGAAGGGCAGGGCAGAACTACATGTGGAACATGAACTGTAATGAACACAAAGTGGGCTGGGGAGCTGAGTGGAATTTGGAGATGAGATAGGTTAGTAACAGAAGCTTAGCAATAGCAATGGCAACTCAGAGGAGGGGTGGCAGCAGAACACAGTGCTGTGGGCACATGCTGGATACTGTCTGGAGGAAGAACCAACAAGGGCTGATGTTGGAGGTAGAGTTGGGCAGGAAATAAACTTGGAAACTCAATTCAAGAAAATGTGGTATATATACACAATGGAATTCTATGCCTCCATCAGAAAGAATGACACTGCCCCATTTGTTAGGAAATGGAAAGACTTGGAAAAAAATTATATTAAGTGAAGTAAGCCAGGCCCAAAGAAACATAGGTCCCATGGTTTCCCTTATTTGCAATATCTAATATATGTCTGAGTCAAGCAGAAAAGGTCAGATAAGGTGATGTTAGGGAAATGAACCCTAAGATGTGTATTCAAATATTTTTTTTCTTTCTTGCGATTGTTTCTAACACATTTATAAGATTATTTCTTTGTTGCTTTGTATGTCCCTCCCCCACAGTATAACCCCTGCTTTCACTGTATTTGATGTTGGTATAATTTGTGGAGGGGAAGGGGAAAAACAAATCGTTTAAATAGGGATACAGGTGGACCCGTTACAACAATGAGATGTACAAGTCGTTATGTCAAAAACGAACTTTACAACTTTGGTGGGGGGGAAAGGGGGGGAGCGGGGAGGATTGGGTTGGGGGGTAGGGGGAGGATGGGAAGGGATGGGAAGGGGAAACAAAGGAAGAGGCTACAATGCTAGATAAGAAATGTACTCATTATCTTGCCCATGTAATTGTAACCCCTCTGCACAGTATTTTCACAATAAAAAAAAAGAAAAAGAAAAGAATAATTCCTTGCTTTTAGCTTGAATAACTGAGTAAACTGTGGTGCCATTTAACAATATGAATAAGCTAGCAGAGGAATGGGTTAGAAAAGAAATGAGAAATGTTATTGAGTATATTAACTTTGAGATGGCTTGTATCCAAGAAATAATGTCTCCAGAAGACAGGAAAGTATATCCATCTGGAGTTCAGGAAAAGACAAGGAAGACTTGTAAATATGACCAACAGACCAGTAAAAAGTTTTCCACTGATAGGTTCATTGCTATCATTGCAAAACTACTGTAGAAGACCCAGTATTTGTTATAGGAAACAGTTCAGGACTGGCACACTAGATCTGTTCCATTTCTAATTAATGACAGTCTCTCAAATGTCAAATTCAATATCAAAGTCAATCTAGGCCTGAGTCACATTTCAGTGTTATAAGATTTCAGGGAAATGAACAATTTTTAGCCTAAATAAAGACAAGCCCCATATTGAAATGATACAATTGACAATTGTGTGACAAATTAAGGAAGAATAGAACAAAAGAAGTTATAGTAGTAAAAAAAAAAACTGAATAGACTTTTTAAAGAACCCTGATCAAGTTTTTAGAAAGATCAAATCATTTACACTACAATTAAAGTACAATTCTCATTTTTATGGTATTAGTACATGGCTCATTAAACACTGTAACTTTGTCTCAAAAATCTTTGAAAAAGTCATAACACTCATAAGGATCTTTCAAATTTAGTATGAATTATTCAAAATAGTAAAATACCAACAGAAAGAATTAAGATTACCTTTTAATAGGGAAAAATCAAATATTTGAAAACAAAAAAACAAACTTGAAATGTGCTTGAAAATGGTTTGTTACTTAGCAATAACGTTTTGCTGAACAATAATAATAGACTCTTTTCCTGACTTATATAACTGTAACCCCTGTTTTTAGCATTTTCAAAAAAAAAAGTTCTGTTCCTCATAGAATCTGCATAAAATTCAGACTCAAGAATAAAATCGATTTCCTAACAATTTAAGAAACAGGCTACTTTACTCTACTGCTTTACAAAATCAGAAGAGGAAATAGCAAACAAGGCACCATGGTAGTATATATTCACTTTTGTCTTGCCTAAACTGAATGATAATCCTAAGAATTACTTGAATACTTGTGGAATAACATATAGTACCATTAAATGCTAATATATTCAGATAGACACGATTCTTCGTAGAATATAAGGAATGCCAATTTATAGTGTTAGCAATTTTTCTTATCAATAGAATTTGAAAAACAGCCTACTCATACACATTGAATAATTAGAAAAAAGGACATTATGAAAGATGGAAAAAGGATGTATTTTCTGAAATGCTGTCAATCATTAATAATGTATTTAAGAAACTATAAAATAAAGGCTGTTGACCAAGACAAAGAGACCAAGGTACAGTTAAAGTCCAGGCTTATTACTAAGACTTTCCTAATGTAGTCCTAAACCTAACTTTTCTGTTTCACCTCCCATCACATTCCCTATTTCCCTGGGGTATGCCATTCCCTTTAATGGAATGCCTTCATCTGCATCCACCATTAAGACCTCTCATTTTCAAGGCTTAAGTTCAAATGTCTTCTACTTGACGTCTTTGTAATCATCCACCATTCAGGATTCTTTTTTTTTTTTTGTCATGAGGCTTGAACTCAGTTCAAGGCAAGCACTCTACCACTTAAGCCACAGCACCACTTCTGTTTTTCTGGTGGTTAACTGGAGTAAGTTTCCTGCCCAGTCGGGCTTTGAACCTCGATGCTCAGATTTCAGCTTACTGATTAGCTAGGATTACAGGAGTGAGCTACTGGAGCCCAGGTCAGGATTATTTTTATTTGTTCACATTCCCACACAGCTTGTATGTAATTTTACTTCAGCACTTTTCTCTTTCTCTAGTATGGCATGTTACAAGTCTGTTTCCTTCACTTCATTCCAAACAAATTAGTTGCTGAGGATGTGTTTTACCTATTCTGTAACTTTTTCCATTATCCATTCATTCTCCCATTCCCATTTGGTGCCTATGTCTTATTTATTGTTCCTTTCTTCACCATTACCCCATCCCCAGAGTGGCTAGCTTTAATGTTTTCTCACAAAAGTAGGCTTTTAATGAATTCAGTTTAAATTCAAACTCTGACTGAATTTCCTAGTACTAGAGGACTCTAATGAGTCAAACTTTGGCTTAAACAAAAGCTGCATGATCCCTAGCCAATGTCTCTCATTTCTGAATTCAGTTTTCAAACTGAGACCATCTATAAAAATTTTCCACTCCAAGTTTTGGTATAATTAGTTCTTTTTTCCTTCCATTTGGTGAAGTTTATTGGAACCATCTGTGATGCACTGACAATTTATATTGAGGACCAAAAGAACATTAAAAAAAACTATTCCTCTGGGACAAAATACTTATCAGTTCATCTCAGGGATTTGTCTTCATTCTCTACCATGACAACTTTTTAAAGTTAGGAATACACTGGATACATAGGGAAATCACTGACTTCTCAAATACACTTTAAGGGAATTTATCTTCTGAACTTGACAGCTCTCTAGGATACTGACATTTAACAGGTTATTGCATATAATACAAATATGTGCTCCATAAATTAACCCATCCTAAGTTTTAAGTCCTGCTAATATTACCATTCTTAGTTCTGGTAAAGAATCAGTATTTTACCTAATCTAGTCTACTGACAGATTAGTTTCCTAGTGAACGAAAACTATGACTAATCACTATTTCCCACAATGACTACCTATGGCAGATGGCCAGTTATGGATAATCTGATGAGAAATTGAGTCACTCTTTTATAGAACTGAATCACATCCTCCTTCCTGATTTATAATTTGGCTAATATAGTGTGGGCTGTAATTAATTGTGTAAATATAGAGAAAGCACATTACTCATATGATGGCATGCTGGAAGATCCTTTATAAACTTAATGAAAGCCAGAATGTAATAGCAAATGTCTCAGCTAGCAGCAAGCTACAGTAATCATTACACAGAAAATGGCTAGAAGAAAGATCTTGTGTAAGAGCATTCCCACTTAAGAACAAAGATTGTATTATGTAAGGGGAAATGACTTTTGTTACTATTGTTGGGAGCAAACAATGATAGACAGTATTTGGAAAACTTTCATAAAATGCCATTTACTAATTCTTGGCCTATTTAAGAGTAGAGAAGGTCTGCTTCTAATCTAGAAACATTTTATTCTAAAAAATGAGTTAAGTTTTTCAACTGAAAAGGCCTAGAAACAATAACAATTCAATGTCAATAAGTACTCCTAGAATCCAGATTATAGTCTCTAAGAATCATTTCTTACCAAAAAGAACCAGATCTATTTAAGTAGGGTTGAGTATATCTTACTGCACCAGAAAACAATGTGATGTCAAAAGACATTATCCAAGGGACCCCAGAGAGTCAAATGTACATTACAAAGAAAATGTATACAATTAAATGAGACATGAGAACATGGAATCTGTTAGGTATATGTGTGAATGAAAGAGAAATAAAATTTATTGAACATCAGTGGAAGTTTCTTAGGTAGCAATTTCTTTCTCTCCCTCCCTTCCTTCCTTTTTTTGTAGGTACCATGGTTTGAACTTAGGGACTAGTATTGCTTGCCTTGTTTGTTCAGCAAGTATTATACCATTTGAGAAAGTTCTCAAGTCCAGTTTTTTGCTGGTTAACTGGAGTTGAAATCTCATGGACTTTTCTACCTTTGCTGGCTTAAAAACTCAGTTCTCTAGATCTCAGCCTCCTGAGTAGTAGGATTTTAGGCATGAGGCACCAGCACTCAGATGAGTTTTTAATCTTTTAAGCAATCAAAGAAGTTTGAGTGTGGGCTATGTATTGGGGATTATAGAATTATTATTAAACAATAAGCATTGTAATAATTTTGTGGTTATATAATAATTATCTTCAGCCAGAGGAAAAATAAACAGCACATGGGTGCATTGGGGAGAGGGATGAAACAGAGTTCAGGCCCCACGACTGGACCAAAAAAAAAAAAATACTGATGGTTGCTAAGGTTGAGTGACAGGGGTTCATGAGGTTTCTTGTATTTAGTACTTTTGTCTATAGCTGAAAATTTTGTAATGAACTTCTAAAAAACAGGATAATTATGATTATTTATGATTCTGACATTACACTTATGGAACATCTTCCACTGGCCATGGTTCTTTATGGATCACTGAGAGAAGTTTAATGACCTCATCCTCATGTTCTTTCATTACCCTGCAGTACCATTTGCTTAAGCCAGGAGACAAATTCATTAAGGATGAGAAAGACCTTTTCATTTTTTACTCCATGTTTTATATCACATATTCTTCATTCCACGTTTTATATCACATATTCCTGTTAAACAGACAAATATGAATTTCATTTGGCCTCATGTACTTTATAGTTAAACCTGAGCTCAATATAGTATGTTATTATACTCCTAAATAACACTATTGATTAATGTGTAAATGTACCATGATACTTATGTCCAAAGTTTTCAAGGAGATTCACAAGAAGTTAATCAGTATTCCATGTAGCTGTTCTTATTAGGGCTGCTTGGGGTCTTCTGGTCCACAGGAGTATTAACAGTTCCCTCTTCCTTAACATCCATAGGGCCTTCAAATCATCTTAAATATACACTAACAGAAGCTGGGTGCTTGTGGCTTACACCTGTAATTGCAGCTACTCAGGAGGCTGATCACGGCTCAAAACCAGCCCAAGCAGGAAAGTACATGAGACTCTTTTCTCCAATAAACCACTCAGAAAACCCCAGAAGTGGCACTGTGGCTCAAGTGGTACAGTACAAGTATTAAGCAAAAAGAAGCTTAGGGACAGTACCTGGGCCTAGAGTTCAAGCCCCAGAATCAGAAAAAAAAAAGGAAGGAAGGAAGGAAGGAGAGAGAAAGGAAGAAAGGAAGAAAGAAAGGAAGAAAGAAAGAAAGGAAGAAAGAAAGAAAGAAAGAAAGAAAGAAAGAAAGAAAGAAAGAAAGAAAGAAAGAAAGAAAGAAAGAAAGAAGAAAGAAAGAAAACAAAGAAAGAAAGAAAAATACACTAACAATAAAAATGGTGAGACTTGGCCGAAATTTTTTGAATAGAGACCCGGAAACACAACAAATCAAAGAAAGGTTGGACAAATGGGATTGCATAAAGTTGCAGAGCTTCTGCAGGGCAAATGACATAGCTAGCAAGATCAATAGAAAGCCCACAGATTGGGAGAAGATCTTTACTAGCCATACAACGGACAAGGGTCTCATATCTAAAATATACTTGGAACTCAAAAAATTAAACCCCCCAACAACAAATCCTCAAAGAAACAACTGCCCAATAAATAAGTGGGCGAAAGACTTAAAGAGAAACTTCTCTGAAGAAGAAAGAAGGATGGCCAATAGACACATGAAGAAATGTTCAACATCCCTAGCCATAAAAGAAATGCAAATCAAAACAATATTGAGATATCACCTCACCCCAGTTAGAACGGCAAAAATCAAGAACTCTAACAACAACAGATGCTGGAGGGGATGTGGACAGAAAGGAACCTTACTTCATTGTTGGTGGGAATGTAAACTTGTTCAACCACTTTGGAAAGCAGTATGGAGGTTCCTCAAAAGACTTCACATAGAACTCCCCTATGACCCAGCAATCCCACTTTTGGGCATTTACCCAAATGTTTACAAACAAGACCACACTAAAGCTACCAGCACAACTATGTTTATTGCAGCATTATTTACCATAGCTAAGATATGGAACCAACCCAGATGCCCCTCAGTAGATGAATGGATCAAGAAAATGTGGTATATATACACAATGGAATTCTATGCCTCCATCAGAAAGAATGACATTTCCCCATTTGTTAGGAAATGGAAAAACTTGGAAAAAATTATATTAAGTAAAGTAAGCCAGGCCCAAAGAAACATAGGTCCCATGGTTTCCCTTATTTGCAATATCTAGTATATGTATGAGTCAAGCGGAAAACGTCAGATAATGTGATGTCAGGAAAATGAACCCTTAGATATGTATTTTAATGTTTTTTTCTTTCATGCATGTGTTTCTAACGCATTTATAAGATTATCTCTTTGTTGCTTTGTATGTCCCTCCCCCACAGTATAACCCCTGCTTTCACTATATTTGATGTCAGTATAACTTGTGGAGGAGATGGGGAAAAACCAGTTGTTTAAGGATACAGGTGGACCTGTTGCAACAATGAGAAGTACAAGTTGTCATGTCCAAAACGAGCTTTACAACGTCGGTGCGGGGTGGGTGGGGGGGGGGGAAGGAGAAGGATTGGGATTGGGGAGGGAGGGGGGAGGCTGGGAAGGGAGGTGAAGGGTAAACAAAGGAGGAGGCTGCAATGCTTGGTAAGAAATGTACGCATTATCCTGCCCATGTAATTGTAACCCCTCTGTACAGTACGTTCACAAATAAAATAAAATTAAATTAAAAAAAAAATGGTGAGACTTGGAAATGTGGCTTTGGTACTTGTTAGCTGTATAACCTTGAGCAATATCCTTATTATGGTCTTTTGAGTTTCAATTTCTCATCTGTAAAAGGGTAAGAATAATACCTAGTTTTCAGAGTATTATTGGAAAGACAGAATGCTACAAATAAATGAAGATACTGAAAGTGATACATGGCACAAAGCAAGCCCTAAATAAATGGTATATACAAAACGGTATGAAAGAATGAGTTAAAAGTTTGGATGAAAAACAGATGACTAATCATTGTAATAGAGAAGAGAAACCAGAAGCATAGTCTCCAAATTGTTACTAATGATTTCATTAGGAAAGATTATGAGATTCATTCTCTTTTTATTGAACATTCTAAAATGCTTAAAAATGTAAACATGTATTTTTTTTCTAAAGTTTAAATGTTTTGAAAGTACCCACTCTCTTTGTTCCCAATATCATCACTAAAATTTGACCCAAATTATCTCTTCCTTGGATTTTTCTTATCTGGAGTCACAGCTTTTGTCCTTGAAGCCATTTTCCACACTGTCACTAAAGGGTCTCATCCTCAGGTGGCTTCCTTGAACCTACAGAATAACAACTGAAGTCCTCAGTGGGGCATGGAAAGTGCTTCTTAGTCTGATTCCAGTTTTTCCATTTATATTTATTCTACCTCCATGCAGAAGCGTGACACCCTGCCAGATGCTAGCTACTGAAAGAATTCTTATGCATATTGAGTGTGTGTGTAGTTGTGTGTGTAATAAGTGTAGAAGAAATCAAAAGCAGTATAGGATAGAAAGAGAGCAGAAAGTGGAGGAAAGAGAGGTAGTAAGTGAAAACATAACACTTAGAAATACAAAAGTAAAAGGAAAGATTGCCTTGCAGCCTAAGTAATCTTAGAGATATAGAGCTGGAAGGGGCTGGTCTCAAACATGGCAAACAACTGTCTTGTAATTTCAAAGGGAAATTGACCATAGCCAATAGGCTAATGCTATATACACTTTAAACAACTATTTTAAACTCAAACCCTACTTCGAAGGAACCAGGCACCTACCCTTTGAGGAGCATAAAGAGGATGTGAGGATGAGCACTGATGTATTCCACAGTAGGACAGCGAGTGCCTATCTGTCTTCTCAGGATGTTGTTAAATATCTGGGTCACATCTTTTTTTCCCTGTTAAAGAAACAACCAACCATTAAATTGTATATTATAAATGAATGAACTGTTATGGAATGAAAAACACATACGAAGAGTTAGTCCCATCCTTTGTAAAAACGCAAACTCATTAGTTCACTATTTTCATATCTTTTCATATGCTGTACTTTTAAACACAAAGTCTGTAAGAATGGATGCTATTCCTTCCCAGTTTCCCTGAAGCTCTGAACTGAACTTTGGCTTATTATATGGACAATAAGGGTAAGAATGCCATTGCCTACTGAATCAGTATGGTCCTAGTTCTGACCTTCATCTTTCAACTGAACTATAAAAGAGCTTCTTAGCTAGGTGCTAGTGGCTTACACTTGTAACCCTAGCCACACATGAGGTTGAGATCCTGCCTAGGCAGGAAAGTCCATGAGACTCTTATCTCCTATTAACTAGCCAAAAGGTAGAGGTGGAGCTGTGGCTCAAGTGGTAGAATGCAAGCCTTGAGCAAAAAAACCTCAGGGACAGTATTCAGGCCTGAGTTCAAGCCCCATGATTAGCACACCACATGTACACACACACACACACACACACACACACACACACACACACACACACCACACACACACACACACATGCATACACGCACACACATACACAATTCTTCCAGTTATTCTCTCGATTTTAAAGCATTTTCACTTTACAGAGATAGCTAGCAAGAAATTCAAGTGCAGCCATACTATTCTCTTTCATTAGGTTCTTCAACATACCTCTTCTCTCTTTCTCTCTTTGTGGTTCCCCCTTACCCCTTTCTTCTGGTAGTAGGTCTTAAATTCAGGGCCTAGGCTCTGTCCCTGGGCTTTTTAGCTCAAGGCTGGTACTCTATTACTTGAGCTCCACTTCTGGCTTTTTTTTTTTCTTAATTGGAGATAAGAGTCTCACAAACTTTTCTAAAGATACTTTAGGGGCTAGGGATATAGCTCAGTGCTGGAATGCTTACAGGGCAAAGGTAAAGCTCTGGGGTTCAATCTCCAGTACCACAAGAAAATCAAACGTAACTAAAACAAATTTCAGAATCACTTTTTCTCAATTTAAAAATCCTAAAGGAAAAATGCTCATACTACATAATTTCATTTATACCATGTTAGGCTAGATTTGTTGTACAAAACAAGCATAGCTGTAAATATAAATGAAATTTTAATTTAAAGCAATCACCTGGGGTGTTCAAGTCTTTCTAGACTCCACCGTAAAATACTGTAAATATCAACTCTCTTTGAAATATTCTAAGAGTGTGTTTTTCATACCTCCCAGTAAAATGCCACAGAACATTTCCATACGGCATTCCAGTGAACAGAACCAGATCCAACTTTTACACAGAGGAGAACATTCTTCTCACCCATCTGTAAATGTGTGCAGAGGCAAAGAAAGCCCCCTATTGCTAACAAAAACAAGGCTGCTACCAAGGACCACTTCCCCAAACAAAGGAAAATATTAGAAAAAAGTGAAATAGATACAAGATTAATAATAATCTCTCAGTTATATGTAATCTAAGTAATTATTCATTTCTCATACAAAAGTCTATTTCAAAACCAGTCTTCTGCAATCCTCAAAGCCTAGAAGTAGCCAGAAAAAAAAAAGTGGTGTGGGGGGGTGGGAAGGGGAGACACTAAAAGAAAAAGAAATCCTCGGCTAGGTGCCAGTGGCTCACACCTGTAATCCTAGCTACTCAGGAGGCTGAGATCTGAGGATCGTGGATCAAAGCCAGCCTGGGCAGGAAAAGCCATGGAACTCTTATAAACTCCAATAAACCACCAGAAAACCCGAAGTGGCGCTGTGGCTCAAGTGGTAGCGTGCTAGCCTTGAGCTGAAGGGCTGAGGTCCAGAGTTCAAGACCCATGACCAACAAAAAAAAAAAAGAAAGAAAGAAAGAAAAGAAAAAAATCCCCTAAACACTTTGATGTAATAAGGCAATATCCAGAAATGACCAAAAAAAAATTTAAGATTACATACAATATAACAAATCAGATCCCAAGCCTTTTGAAGTACTTATTAGCTGGCATGTTTAAAAAAAATCAGATCAGATGTAAATAATTAATGATCAAATGAATGAGTGAATGGCATATAAAAGTACCAAAAATCAAATGGGAAAAAGAAAATGAGGGAAACAATTAGAAATAACTGCTAAGGCTGAGAATGAAGTTTAGTGAGTGCTAGCCTAGTAAGTATGAGGCACTGAGTTCAAACCACAGTACCAGTGTGTGTGTATGCATGTGTGTGTGTGTGTGTGTGTGTGTGTGTGTGTGTGTGTTTATGTGTGTGTGGAGAGCAGTGAAGAAAAGGATGTAGCATTTTGGGGAGTGGGAACTATTTAGTGCATCACAGAAGCATACACTTTTATAAAGGGTGAATGGAACTGTTTGTAAACTAGCTCTGCTAATGGCTTGGATATAGTTTGTTCCTACCAAAACTCATAAGACCTGGTTCCCAAGTTGTTGGTGTTGGAAGACAGACCTGAGGAAAAGTGAGTGGGTCATAAGGGCATAGCCCTTAAGTATGGATTGATGGGGTTTTTTTCACAGATGGATTTGCTAACTCAGGAGTTAGGCTCCCTTTACTCTCTTCCAAATGTAGCTACTTCCTTTCTGCTTTCAGCCATGAACTGATAAAAGTCTAGTGCTTCACCAGATACCAAGCAATCGCTGGTGTCATGTTCCTGAACTTTCCAGCCTCTAGAACCATGAGTCAAATAAAGTTCTTTTATTAATTCATTATCCAGTCTGAATTATTCTGTTATGCAACAGAAAACAAAGACAATACTTAAACCACAAGAAAAAAAAAAGAAGACTAGCCACTTAAGTATGGGACATCTCTGTTCTTGTTCTGTGTGGAAAAAAGACTCAGAAGTAAACATTTGTAGTGAATTTTAACAGTAGGAGCTAGAATAGGCACAGCAGTGTACAAGGGTGATCAGTGTTCAGTGTATGGATTAGCAAAGACTTACGCCAAGCACTAAACTTGAAATTAAACTAATAGAATTGCCATTAGGAAAGATTTTGAAAACCCAACTACAACATAGCTCAGAATTAGCTGCCCTTAAAAATTCTTACAAGAAATTAAATTTCCATATTGAATTCCACTAGTGTGGATGGGAGGAGTCACACCTGCTCCTCTCATACTGTTTTCATAGTCTTTTCTGCAGCTGGCTTCTTCTGCTTCAAATATCTTTATCTCCTGGTTAGACACTGAAGGTTCTGTTTCAGAGCTAGGTCCAGAAACCTTGCAGAAAAACTCTATTCTTGCTTTGATCATATGTCTATTCATAGGCTGGTCAGCTGTGTGTTTAGCTGGCTGTTCTCACCCTAACGATGCTGACGAGGGAGAGAAAGGATCTCCCAAAAGTGGAAGGACTATGTAAACAAAACATTTACATTATATGTGGTATGAATAGTTTTTATCCTTATGGCAGATCACATTCCTTAACAAGTATGGTAGGGGCAAACTGAAATGGCCTTGTCTTAACTATATAAAAATTAAAAGGCTTTGCTTCTGATTAAATGCCTAATGCCAAATATCATTTTAATAACACATAAATTATGTAGTACACTCTTGAAGCTTGACATCATTAGTTTTAAAAGGTGATAGGATAACTATAACATAAGATTCCATTTATGGTATAGTATTTCCCTAGTTGAGATTGTGCACTATTTGTCTAAACAACACAATCAATGACCTATGCATGTAACATTTCAAATTGCTAAATGAAAGTTTATATCTTAAGATTTTATAATTTTGGTTTCATCTTTTTTTTTTTTGTTGGTCATGGGGCTTGAACTCTGGGCCTGGGTGCTGTCCCTCAGTTCTTTAGCTCAAGGCGAGTGCTCTACCACGTGAGCCACAGCGCCACTTCTGGTTTTTTAAGTGGTTTATTGGAGATAAGAGTCTCACGGACTTTCTTGCCTAGTCTGGCTTTGAACCGTGATCCTCAGATCTCGGCCTCCTGAATAGCGAGGATTACAGGCATGAGCCACTGACTCCCAACTGGTCTCATATTTATAGTAATAAAACCAAAAATGAAAGGCTACTTTAATTAGAGATGGAAAAAAAGGGTTTTAGAGGACAAAAACATTTTAAAATCTCAAGAGAACTATTTTTCTGTTGTTGTTGTCGGTTGTGGGGCTTGAACGCTGGACCTGGGCGCTGTCCCTCAGCTCTTCAGCTCAAGGCTAGCACTCTACCACTTGAGCTACAGCACCACTTCCGGTTTTTCTGGTGGTTTATTGGAGATAAGAGTTTCACATACTTTCCTGCCCTGGCTGGCTTTGAACTGAGATCTTCAGATCTCAGCCTCCTGAGTAGCTAGGATTATAGGCGTGAGCCATTGGCACCAGGCTTCAAGAGAACTATTAAATAGCTTAATGGGAAGCTAATCAGGCAGTGATTTTTTTTTTTCCAACACATTGAAGCTATAAAGTTTCTGGGGTCTACAAACTATCATGTCGGGGAGTTATACCAGGGAAAGCAGTCATGGCCTCATGAGATTCTCAGGTCTGAAAATCTGGTTAATTTTAACTTGTAATGGTTCCATTGTATTTTCTTATAGAGAGGTGACTTTATTAGAGTAATAAATAGCCTGGAGAATGCCAAAGTCCTGCGTATCACTATATCTTTCTTGAAATATATAATGTATATGAGCAACAACCATGATTAATGTTCTTGTCAACAAGTGCAACTGTAACTGGTTTGCTCTAACCTTTTTGTTCTTTTTATCTATAGAAACAGACTCCTATAACAATTTCAATAGGTGGCTTTGTTCAGTTTTCATAGTTTCAATTGTTTTGGGAGGGGGAAACATACAGTAATAGAGAGGGTAAGACTAATTGGAATATACTGTAAACATGTAGGAAATGAAACAATGAAATATGTAACTAATGTAAGCTAAAAAAAAAAAAATAAGCCTCCTGGGATGCCATTTCAGAGTACTTTTTTTTCTGAGTGTTCATTTTCATTCTTGATTAGAATAAAATTTTCTTGTGTGGGAATCTGTTCTAGACTGACAACAGCAAGTCACCATTTAAAGCTATCATCACAGAGATTTCTGCTTCTTTGAACTATTTTCTGTAGCTGCAATAGTGGACTTTGTATTCACTCTAGTTTTGCAAGGCATGCTTACCTTTAAAGTACAAGCATTGCCTCTTACAGTTTTACATTTATTAATCCCTTGATCTCACACACTTTGTGTTTAGAAACATCAAGGAATCTAAAGACCTGTCTTGAATAGTGGCCAAACTACAGAAGACACTGCCCTTGGTTTGATACTGAGCCCACAAAATCAGAAGCCATACTGTTTCTTCCATAAGTCTTTTTCATTGTTTCTTTTTTTCCCCAGCTTATAATATATTGACATGATTAAGTTTGTCAACAAACTTAAAGCTTAAAGGATTAGATACATATGTATGGCTAAGCAGTGAGATTTATTTTAGACTTAAAGATCTGCTTTAACCAGCCATTAGTCATACAAGTAGGATCCTCCAGCATTGTCCCCACCGCACCAGACCACTCTCTTTTTTTGTACTGGTATTGGAGCTTGAACTCAGGGCCTGGGCCCTGTCCCTTAGATTTTTCACGCAGGGCCAGTGCTCTCTCTTGAGCTTGTTCCACTTCCATGTTTAATTGGAGATAAGAGTCTCAAGGTGATCCTCAGCTCTGAGGCTCATTAGGAGCTAGGATTACAGGCCTGCACCACTGACTCCTGTGGATTCTTTTTTCTTTTCTTTTTCTTCTTTTTTTTTTTTTTTTGTCGGTTGTGGGGCCTGAACTCTGGGCCTGGGCACTGTCCCTCAGCTCTGCAGCTCAAGGCTAGGGTTCTACTACTTGAGCCACAGCACTACTTCTGGATTTTCTGCTTATGTGGTGCTGAGGAATCGAACAAAGGATCTCATGTATGCAAGGCAAGCATTCTACCGCTGAGCCACCTTCCCAGTCCTCCTGTGGATTCTTCATAGATGGATTTATCACACAGATTCCTAAGTTAGTCACTACTGCCGAACCATAGGTTCTACTTTCCAAATTCCAGCAACCACAGACTTTCAATCTCTACTAATGATCTTGTTTGTCTGTTTTATCTCTTCAACATGCTGTTTTTCCCAAGCATAGAAAAGTTGCTAGCCTCCTTCATTCAACATATACTATTAATACTATTAACACATAGTGCTCCTAAAAAAGGCTGAAGGATAAAAGGTAAACACAGCTCATACAGATGAATTTTGATTCATGATGAGTTTTATGTCACTGTATTAAAAGTTGCACAGTCTTGTTGATTATCTTTCTCCTGATCTCCTTCCTTGTATCCTTTCCCTGCTCCAAACCTTTCTCTAATCTCTCCTACTTCCTACTTCATCATTCTTTCTCAGGAAAGACATTTCTCACATTTCTGTTACTTTACCGTGCAAAAGGAATCTAAGCCTTTTTCTTTCAGTCTTTTCCTTTCAGACACTGTCTGGAGAGTCTGACAAAAAACCCAGCAAGGGTTTTTTTTCCCCTTCCGTTAGGAATGTTTGTTCTATTTTCCTAAGTTATCTGGCAAGAACTGCAGCCTATCCATCCCTCAAATAATAACTTTTCTTCCTAGTTATAAAGCATATCAGAAATGTTAGTCAAATGACTCTTGTTCTCTTCAAAGGAGCCCAATTGTATCACTTATTAAAGTGATTCAGAGTAGTCTACACAGTCTTCTAAACAATATACAAATTCAAAATGGCTCATTGATGTGTCTTAAGATACTTTCTTTTAAGCCAATTCCTTATCCTATGCTTTGATCTCTTTCTTATTCCTACATTCTGCCTACCTACCTACCAACTAACTTGTATGCAACCAGGTATGGGAAACACAGTCAGTCCTAGTAGTCAAGGTACTCAGACAGAAGGGTATTCCTAGTACTACCAAAGAATCAAGAAATGGGATGATGATACTCTATGTGTCTAGAATAAATTTTGAAGGTAAGAAAATTTTTATCAAGCCATCATTAGTTTATGTGGATGTTTTGGTCTTACAATTGTGTGTGTATGTGTGTGTGTGTGTGTGTGTGTGTGTGTGTGTGTGTGCGCGCGCGCGCATGAATGTATGCAGATACTGGGGCTTGAACTCAGGCTCTAATGCTCATCCTTGGCTCTTTTGCTCAAAGACAGTGCTGTGCCACTTGAGCCACAACTCCACTTCTGGATACTTTGGTGTTGGAAGGAAAGTTGCTCCCAGTAGCTGAACACCTTTGTCTCCAACTCACAGAGATACACAACACATTTTTGCAAGTAAGCTAATGTAGCTTCCTTGGTCTTCCTTCCAATAACCAACTGTGAACTTGGTTAATCTCATAAACTAAGTCAGGTGAACAAAGGAATCAATGTTGGCAATAGTCTAATATATGGTTATTCTTAGGAGAATGTGTGAGACAGTAGTAAATATATAGAAATAGGATCATAATCCAAAAGTAGGGGCCATTTTTCATATTCATGGTCATTGTCCAACTAAATGTAAAGCAAACATAAAAATAAAATACAGAGTTATAAGCTGGCCACTGGTAGTTCATGCCTATAATATTAGCTACTCAGGAGGCTAAGAACTGAGGATCTCAGATCAAAGCCAGCCTGGGTAGAAAAGTCCATGAGATGCCTGTCTCCAATTAATCAGCAAAAACCTGGAAGTACAGTAATGGCTAAAGTGGTAGAGTGTCAACCATGAGCAAAAAAGCTAAGGGACAGCATCCAGGCCCCGAGTTCAAGCCCTAATACTGACACACACATATACAAAATCCAGTGTTGTAACCAAACCCACTTGTATTATTTAGCTGAGGAAAGAGGAGAAAATGAAAATATATATCTTCTTATATAGTACAAGATATATTTGTACTGTTCTTATTTAGTAAAAATAAAGGAAAGCTGTGAATTCATATTATTCTTTTGAAGATGAGAAAACTTAGGCTTGAATGGTCAAGTTATGACTAGCAAATAGTAAAAGCCAGATTCCCATCAATAGTTCCAATACCAAGTGGTTTTCCACTATGACACAACTCCTACAAATGTTCATAATACCTGATTTTAAACTAAATAAAAGAAGCATAAAGTATATAAATGCTTAAAATAAGAGTATACCTTAATTCCACATATATCCAATTTGTAAAAAAGATGAGAGGGATCCACACAGTGGTGTGGAAACAAAGAGATAAAAACTAAGCAAGAGAAAAAGGACTATAGGTAGACAATGTTATAGATAAAGAAATAGTCAGCAAAAGGGAGGAAAGGATAGCTGGTGTATGTGAAAGGAAGTATGAGTTGACGCCTGAGCCCTTCAGGTTCTCCCTGATCTTGCTTCCAGCCAGAATACAGGACTGTGTGTTCACCCATAGTCTCCTCTGAATTTCTCCTCCATCACCACAGCCAAATCTCCTCCCCTATCTTATCTGCCAGGAAGCCCTGGACTAGTATTTCCACAGATCCCCAGAGCCCTAACCTTACCTCAGTCTAATCACTATAATCACAGTAATTAGTTTTCCTTCTAGTTGCTCAGTGAATAAAACTAAAAGCAATTAACTTGAGAAATCTGCATATCTCATCTGTCTCTGAGACTCTGTGAAGATTTGAATACTTACCTGAAAAAAACCAAAAGAGAAACTGAGACATCTATCATCTACACAGTGAGTATGTCAACTTACCTACGGATATCTTTTTCATTGCATTATCACTCACTGTTAAAAGTTAAATAAATAATAAAATGCCTACACCCATTCACACTTATATTTCTATATTTGTTGTATTTATTTAACTAGGTAAACTTGGTTTAATTGCTGCCCAAATGAGATAAACATTCTGTATCACATTTAACAGACTTCTCAAATCATAGTATTTTAATAAAAATAACTAGCTTACTAGATGCAGTGTTTGAATTACAACAGCCAGTTACTTAATGTGTTGGAACTTTAGGTTCTTTATCTATAAGATGGGGGATAATAAGATTATTTAAAACCTTATGCAGCTTTAAGAACTAAGTAAGTTGCATTCAAAACTGTATTGGGGGCTGGGAGGGTGGCTCAGTGGTAGAGTGCTTGCCTCGCATGCATGAAGCCCTGGATTCAATTCCTTTTCCTTAGGAAAAGCCGGAAGTGGCACTGTGGCTCAAGTGGGAGAGCACTAGCTTTGAACTGAAGAGCTGAGGGACTGCACCCAGGCCTACAACCAACAAAAAAACAAACAAACAAAAAAAACAAACCTGTACCTGGTATTATATTAAACACTCAGCCAATGCTATCTATTATTGTTAGTAGTAGTAATTAATCTAGCTACTATCTAGCTGCACAAACTTAATTAAAATATAGCTTTAAATAAAGATGAGAGTGCAAATATAATGTCTTTTACATATAACGTATGACTAGCAATCATTTTTTAAAGTTAAATGCTAATAGAATATATATTAAAACAAAAAGAGAACAGTTGTCTTTCACCTCAAAGTCTATGAGCTGCAGGTCAGCTATCAGTGTCACCAGCAGCCCACTGTTGTAGAGTTCTTGTGCCAGTTGAGCCACTGCCTCTGTTGGGGGCTCCTTGTCATTTGTACCACACAGAATTTCCTTCATTGCTTGCAGTGCTTTTGACACTTCTTCTGAAGCCTAGTGATCAGAAAATATGCTAACAGTTAAAAAGAATAGTAATTTCCTGCCATAAACAAGTCAACAAAAAAAACATCTCTTGGGCCCAATTTATTTGTAATCAAAGACCATTTCATAGTTATAAACAAACTATTAGTGGGCACTACTTTTTTATTTAAGGAAATGTTACTAAAATTTATGTAAATAGATCTATAATATTTCTTCTTAGCCAATATAACTGAAGTAATTTTTCCTTAAACTATATTATAGTCTAATTTTGCTAATAACAAGTAGAAGCAAACAATATATAGCAACTTTACTCCTAAAAATTAAACACAGTCTGACTTGAAGACTTACTAGTCATTACTTACAGTATTATGTTAAGGTTTTTCAACAAATCCCTATTCTCGTGATCTTTCACTGGTCAGATATAAATGCACAAGTTGTAAAAACTTGTAAGTTTTGTCAGTTTGTGTATTCCTCAAATGTAACTGACTTTTTGCACTTATGAAATTTAAAATAATTCAATTACATTTAAAGAATAATAAATTCACAGAAGCAAGAAAGATGAATAGGTATTAAGCCCTAGAGGAGGGAATATGAGAATGACAGTTAATGGTGCATGTTTTCTTTAGAGCAATGAAAATGTGATACTGGTTGTACAACCTTGGGAATACACTAAAAACTGTACTTTCAATGGATCTTCATATACTATGTGAATTATACCTCAATACATTTTTAAAAATACAGGTAACACTGGAAAGCAGACTAATTTAGCTAACAATTTGCTTTACTGTTTTAAAAGAATTATAATGTTATTACTTTTAACAGTACAGTAATAATAAATGTAAAAGGGGATGAGCAGAAAAAGGCAAGTAACATTAAAATAACAGCAAGACATTACTTTTAAAAATGAATTTTCTGTCAAGTGGGAGAGTGCTAGCTGAGCAGGCAGGCCCAGCAAGCACAAGACCCAGAGTTCAAACCTTGGTACTGACAAAAAAGAAAAAAAATCCAGATATTTTTATGGCCTGAATGGAAGCAATCTTTAACTTATTAAGGGATAAAAGATTGTCTCCCTCCCCCCCCCCCCCGCCCGCACCCCACGAGGGGGAGGGCATTATTTGGGTTTGAACTCAGGACCTGGAACTTAGGAGTCAGACACTCTTCCACTTGAATCATGCCCCGAGTCTAGGAAGATTATTGTATTACTGTTGGTATATCCACAGAAGGTACTTCAAATATATAGAGAGCTGAGAATTATGAAGCAAACCTCTTTGTGACCATCTCTCAGAATATTTTCGCTACATCCTAAGATGTAAATACTTTTGTGTATTTCATGACATTGCTATAGTTTGGATCTTAAAGATCCCTCAAAAAGATTCCTCAATAAAGGCTTAGTCCTCAGCTTTGGTGCTTCTGTAAAGCAGTAGAAACTTTAAGAAATGGGAAGTCTCTTCCAGTTATTGGGGATATACCCTTGAAGGGGACCATGGGTTCCCTATCTTTTCTAGTCTGAGCCATGAGATAAATCATTTTGCTACTCCATGTGGTCCTGTTATGAAATGCAGTCCTTACCAGACCCAAAATTATGAGGGTCATTTAAATTTCTATTCTGGGTCAATATTTGGCGCAATATTATAGAGAATGTTAAAATTAAGGTATTTTGCATCCCTTATAGAACTTAAATTGTATTATACACTAGGATAGAAAATTATGATGAACTCACAGGCATTTGTATTATAGGCATGTTGGATCATAGCATAGCCTAGTTGTTTGTAGAAAAACTAAGGTTGCACTGTAGTACAATCTATCTGCCAATTTTTAACTAAGGCTTTTTCCTCTTTTATTTCAGTGTAACATGATACACTAGTACAACCCCTGAGATCTTTAAATTCCACAGTGATCCAGCATAGGCCAAATGCTCACTAGTGAACCGAGTTCAACACAGCAGAATGAACAGTTATTAAGTGCATAAAAACCTGAAGCCAATCTAAATGTTCTTCTTAGAACCCTATGTGCCTATCACACACAGTCTTGCTTGGGATCCTCCATTAAGCGTTTTTTTTTTTTTTTTTTATCGTGCTTTGGCCTTAAAATAAATGTTTTTCAACAATGTTTTTGTCTTAGCTCATACCTTCTCTGTCTTTTTTTCTTGTTTTTCCAAAATGGCCATGTTGTCTTTCAGAATTTTCACAATTTCTGCTGGATTTTTGTGTGATTTACTAAACAAAGGCATTTTTCATGTATAAAAATCTCTTCTTCCAATATGGAATGCTAAAAAAGAACAAGCCAACAAAAATCATAACTTTAATTCTTAAAATACTTAAATCACCATAATATGGGTTTTAAAAATAACATTAGTTCAATAATTCAAAAACGATCAAATGATAATGAATTTCAAGTTTATGCCAAAGTTAAATATGTATTAAATCTTTAAGAAAGATATTTTAAAGTCTTTACCTAAAAGTTTTTACTCAAGAGTTTAAACTTACAACAATAGAAGCACAAGGATTATGCAAGAATGAGAAAAGAACTATTTCAGAGACTAATAGACTGTTTAGAATAAAAAGAGTAATAATAATAACAATAGTAAAACATAGTAATAAAACAGAATTAAAATAACATAAAACAAAGAAATGTACGCATTAACCTGCCCATGTAATTGTAACCCCTCTGTACAGTGTGTTCACAAAAAATAAAATAAAACAGTATGGGCTGGGAAGATGGCTCAGTGGTAGAGCCCTTGTCTTGCATGCCTGAGGCCCTGGGTTCAATTCCTCAGCACCACATAAAGCAAAATGAAAAAAGCCGGAAGTGGCTCTGTGGCTCAAGTGGTAGAGCGCTAGCCTTGAGCTGAAGAGCTGAGGGACAGCGCCCAGGCCCAGAGTTCAGGCCCCACGACCAGACCCCCCCCCCCAAAAAAAAAACAGTAATAAAACAATTATTAAATATGTATCACATAGTACTCCATGGTAATTTTAAAACTGCAATGTAAAATTAATTTGTATCTGTCCATTATTTACTCTTCAAATATTCAGTTGTCTATAATCATGAATGAAAAAAATCTCTTGTATTCTCAATGCTATAGTGGAGGGTGAAGAGAGTGGAGAAAGAAGTATTCTAGTTATTAGAAAGATTACACAGAGCAGAGAAAGCTAAATTACTGGTATTGCTTTAATAAAATATGATGGGAAAAATCTTGTAATAGAAGGCTCTAGCTAGTAAAAAAAATGTACATTTATTAGTAAAATATATCTCATATATTATAGAAATATGATGTAATAAATAGAACTCAAGCATTCAGAAATGAAAGCTACTAGTTTCAATGTATATTTAAACAGAACTAGAATAATATTAAACATAATATTTGATAACATTTCTCTACTTTTTATATCCTGAATATCATTCTACAGGTATGATTACATCTAGTATAATATTTTAGTAAGAATATGGTATGTTAATGTATAAATACACCATTTTTACCAATATCTAATCAGTGGATTTTTTTACCAATACCTTAGTATTTGTAAATTTTAAAGTATATTTTTCCCCAATATTTTCCTTCTTTATTTTTTGGTGGCACTGGAGTTTAAACTCAGGGACTTTGTGCTTGCTAGGCTGGTGCCCTACTAGTTACAGCCTCTTTTGCTTTAGTATTTTTTACATAGGGTCTCAAACAATTTTGCTGGAACAGCCTGGACCACAATTGTCCTATCTATACTTCTAGCCTACCTGTGACAAGCATGTTTACCATGTTTTTGTTGGTCTTGCTAATTTTTTGTTCAAACTAGAATCAGTGATACATCTCATCTCCACCTCCTGAGTAGCTAGAATTATAAGCATAAGACAAATTGCCCAGCTCATTTCTTATTAATGATGATCAATGAAGAAAAAACATTATACCCAAATGCATCTATCAATTCACAGAAGCACCCTGACCAGACAGTCCTGTATTAAAACCTGAAGTATGATAGCAAATCCCTCATCCCCTAGATTCTAATCTGTTTCAAAAATCTATAGCCCAAGCCTTTCTGTTGTATCTAAAAACTACCAATATATTCCTCCAAGTAACAAAATCAGTATTTGTTGTTTGTGTTCAAGGGTTCCAATAGGATTTGTGTGTACAATGAAATCTATCTATCTGTCTGTCTGTCTGTCTGTCTGTCTATCTTGATCTGTCTATCCATCTGTCTATCTTGAAATAGAAACTAAAATTGTGAATTGTGATGATGAAACAGAGAACTTTAAAAACCATTTCTTGGGGCTGGGAAGGTGGCTCAGTGGTAGAGTGCTTGCCTTGCATGCCAGTGGCCCTGGGTTTGATTCCTCAGCACCACATAAGCACAAAGAAAAAAGCCGGAAGTGGCGCTATGGCTCAAGTGGTAGAGCTAAAGAGCTGAGGGACAGCACCCAGGCCCAGAGTTCAGGCCCCACGACAGGACCCCCCCCAAAAAAAACCCCAACAAAACATTTCCTGCTTTAGTAGGGATGCCCCAATGTAGGGAGGGTATTATGAGGGGAGTTGTCTACTCTCAGCCCAAGAAAAGTTTAAAATCACAGTAAGGAACCAATCAATCTCTAAGCTGTCAAAAAATTGACGGAACACTTAAAGATAAAAAATACACACAAATAATTTTGGATGAACATTGAGCCTTGTTTTTTTAAACCTCGTGAATAATAAAGGCATGCTGATTTTCTGTAGTAATCTTTATTAAGTAGAACTAAAGTATCAGTAACAGTAAAGTACATTTAAAGGTCACTGGATAGTCAGATGCAGTGATATTTTTTTTTTTAACTATTTTCGGGATCTGTTGCTAGCTACCTATGTAGTCTGCTGCTTGCTACCTATGTGATCTGAGCACTTCATGCGATCTCTTTAAGACTGTTCTTATCTGTCAATGGGGAGGATAACATATCCCACTTAGGGCTATTATGAGGATTAAAGGTCTGTGGAGCCCCTTACATAGGGAATTGTACAAGTAAGGTATTCCCTATTGCTTAGCTACTATTATGAAAAGTTCCAGAACATAATTAAATAATTTCATTAAAGAGAAAGCTAGTCATTGAGATATCCCCCTATATTAAGTATCCTAGTTTTTCAGTCCTTTAGTCAATTACAGTTGGCCCTCACTATACTGCATCCACTGACTGCAGCTTCACTGTATTGCGGTTTTGTTTTGTTTTGTTTTTAACATGTATATAGCAGTCTCTCACTTATTACAGGAGCTACGTTCCAGAGACCCCACCAGGGTGAAAATCTGCGAAGTAGCAATAAGTGAACTATGATATAGTGAAGAACGATTATCTAACACAGCTACTTCGCAGATTTTCACCTATCTCCAGGGTCTTTGGGACGTAACTCCTGCAATAGGTAAGGGATCACTATATTATCTATCTATCTATCTATCTATCTATCTATCTATCTATCTATCTATCTATCTATCTATCTATCTATCTATCTAATCTATCTATCTATCTATCTCTATGCCTATCTATTTAATTTATTGGTGCTGGTCCTTGAACATCATTGAACACAAGGCCTGGGCTCTGTCCCTGAGCTTCTGTGCTCAAGGCTAGCAATCTACTACTTTGAGCTACAGCTCCTCTTCTAGATTTTGGTGATTAATTGGAGATCAGAGTCTCATGGACTTTCAAGCCAAGCTGGCGCCAAATAGTGATTTCCAGACCTCAGCCAGAGGCATGTGCCACTGACACCAGCACTTTCTTATAATTACTTTAAAAAATATAAATTTATTCTGAATGTTTAATATTCAATGTTCAGATATTTGTCACTGAAACAATTTTAAAAAGAATTTTAAGAATGTGTAATTGTTTTCTTTTTCTATGTAGTGTTACCACACCAAAGAAAAATATTAACTGGAGGAATTTCACCTAAATACTCCCTTGATATTGAAAATATATATATATACACATACATATATGTATATGTGTGCATGTACTTATATGTATGTACATGCAAATATACATATATATATGTATGATGTGACTTATATTGCTTGGTCTGTTTTGGTCTGCCTTGTTTTCATTGCATCAATCTAATTCTACTGCCAATTTGCTGCAATTACAAATGTCTTCAGGATTTCCATGGTAACATCAACATAGTGGTTAGCTGGCATTTTCTGACTCATTGTGTCTCAATTTGTTGTGTTCATTTTTTTCATTGGATAAGTAACCTACATAAGCACTATACACAATCACCTTGCTTAGTACTAAGAATGGAATTGTGGACAAAAAAAAAAAAACAAAACAAACCCGTGATACCTACTCTTTGGTGCTTATTAAATGGAAAAGCTAAACATTTTAGTGGCAACATGTAACAGCTAATATCATATAATGTTTCTTAATATAGAATCCTTTTTGAAAATACTTTAAATGTAGCATTTATTATAATAATTATAAAATAAAATTCATTGAATAATGTTTAAATTTCCATAAGATCATTATTAATTTTAGAGCCCACACATTGAGGAATCAAAACACATTCTCAAACATTACAGCTCTAGCCCCCAAAGCCCAGCAAATTAATGCAAAATTTTCCTGCCTGCCCTGCCCTGCCAGTGCCTAGCTCCACTCCACACTCAGACAATACTTCTCCTATCACCCACCAACTTAGGGTACTACTCTTATTCTTGGTAACTCTATGTACATCTGGTGAACTGCACTCAGACCCACATGCTACACAAATACTGGACACTAAAGCTCAGACTAGTGGTGTGGGTCAGTGGCAGTACCTGTCACATATCCATGAGGCCCTAGGTTTATTCCCCAGAATCACAAAAAATAAAGATACTTAGGCACCCTTCTAGTCTTGTTGGAGAGACTAGATTCAGAAGTTAGCACTCTTACCTGTGTGTCATTTTTCTTTGTAAAATGAAGGGTTCTTAAAGTAAGATAGAACATCAGATTTTGAAATGGGATAGGCCATCTAACATGAGCTCTCGGTTACTCATCACACTCTTATATCCATCTTTAATACCTAGCATCTATCACTGCTAAAGATATAATGCCTAAGATGGAGACAAAAGGAATTGAGGATTCCAGAAAAAGGTGTTTGTGGGAAAAGATGGCAGTTTCTTCAAAGTTTTAAGAACATAATGTGCTTATATTTCGGCAATGCAGATATGCCCCGTTAGTTCAACAGACTGACTATGATGAATGCCTTCTAGGCACTGCAAAGTGCTAAGGCCACACACTTCAACCTGCCCCAGCACTAGTACTGACACAGGCCTAGCACACAAAATGTTAACAGATTG